AGGGAAATGTAACAATATCACCTCCCAACATGTTAACACAAGATTTCTTGTACCATATTTACACTTTACTCATTTCCATAACCAGTATTGGCCTCACACGCCACTCCACCCAAGTAAGTTGCTCCAAGCTTCCAGTCTCTGTGGCCATAGCCACTGGCACTGCCTTAGCTTCGATCAAAGACAAAGGCGCTGAACGTTCTACGTTTTTTGACCCTGTCATGCCCACTTGCATTTGAGTGTTATCATCAGGGAGTCGTAAATACCGGTATTTTACGACTCCCTGGTTATCATACAGATAACGCGACTTCCAGCGGTCACAGTGACTACCTCACGGCCAAGGTGATCCTGGGGCAGGCGTATCCCTCGCAAGGTCAAGATAATAGACATGCCTTCGTTGAACCTTGGATCACGATTCACTCTGCCGAACGACATTGTACAAAGTTGTGTACGTGTACATAATCGGGTTGTCTCGTTTCCGGTGAGTCCTAAAATACTTCTTTGAACATGGAAGCAGTTAGCATACCCAGTAGAAGCAGAGGTAATAGCTTCAGTTGTGTACTCTCGGTACATGTAGTACTGACAGTCTGTAGTAGTAAGTAGTACTTCTCTCTTATGTAAACATTACTGCTGCTGCTGCTGCTCATTTTTCAATAAAACACGTTTACTTGTAGCAGTAAGTAGTTGCGGCAGGAGTTTAGTAAATCTGCAGTTCAGTCTGTCATATGGTTGTTCTCATTGCACAGTTCTGTTCATGATTTAGTACAGTGCTATACTATTATGTACAATCATGTACTAGTACTTTCCAACCACCTTTAAGGCATGATAAAACAGCTCTTACACTCCTGTTAACATGTGAGGAAGTGTTCAGATCAGGAATATCATTACGATCATCATGGCATCCAGTACTAGTACCTCTTGGCACAATGGTATTATTTATTGATAGGAATTATTTTACTTGTACCCGTCGGAAGCTAAGGTCCAACAGCAGCAGCATTCTGCCTTGCATCGGTACGCGGTTGCACCCTTCGCTTCGGATAGACTCCGATACCAACAGCACAGAGATTCCTACCATCGTTGAGCTTTTTTCGTCAACCACCACACGGTCCCCACAAGTGCACTCTCCAGCCAACCTCGAAACGTTGCCACATCACGCCATCATTCATCCATCGTTGGGCTGGATACTATTTGCTGGGTGCAGACAAAAATAACGGAGCAAAAAAACTTTTTAAAAGGGTCTCCAGCGATAATCTACGGCGTCGACGTCGTCCTCAGCTCAAGTCTCCCCCACTCACAGTCGCAGACGCAGAGTCAGACTGTACTAGACTGGGGAGTCAGAGTGTCATTTTGGTGGAAAAACTAACATCACTGACGACATACTCATTCATTGGGAAACTAACCGTTACTTTACGCCTTTGCGGGCATCATCAACTAGACTATGACCAGACATCAACAGCTGATCGCACGTCGCACGTGACTAGAGCAGATTCGTTCGCTAGTCACTTGCAACCACAAGACTTTCTCACCTGTCTTTCATCATAATCGCGCGAGATCACTCCGGAGTCGACTAGTCCAGTCCAGAAGAGGTGTTTTGCTGGTGACAGCATCAATGATTGAAGTCTCGCAGACGCTGTTCTCGCAAAGAACTACACTGTGTAGACTCTTTTCTAGGGGAACAAAAATCCCGATGTGTTTTGCTGCAGAGATCGAGCTCTCGGAGCTGCGTGTCAGCGTGTAGGCGCTAGGCATGCTTCGCGGTCTTTTACTTCTACTAGTCCACATCCCAGAAAAGCTGTAGATTTTTCAACTACGTTACATGCAGGGGAAATCTCGTCAAACGAAGTCGTTGAATGGCGCATACATCCACTGACAGCGCGGACATGCGGGTCACACGCTGGAACATGGATTAGGTGAAGAAACCTCTACGCGGTGGCACTGGTAGAGTCGGACTGGTTGGTTCGTATGACTGCGAAATGCCGAACACGGTTGTAGTTCTGAATGTTTTCTTTTCTACTAGGACGAGTTTCCAAGCAATGGCACCGTGTTCCGACAGCGCTGAGGCCTGAGCGGCTAAACTCGACGTGATTTATGGCTACTGCCAGCACTGACACAAGCGGCCATGGCCTAGAATGACTTGAGCAAACTAGTTCAGAGTTTGAACCTAGTTCAAGTCAGGTCAACTTGAACACTCCACATAGCTGCCGACAGCATTCAGTATTCCACTGCTGCCCTGCTGCATCACTCCACAGCATCATCGCCAGTACAGCAGATCCAGCAAGGAGCTGTGGAAGAGATCCAAAGTTCGCTCTACAACATCGCACCCAAGGAGCAACATAGCGACCTACTCCGAAGACCGCACCAGATTCCAGTCAGTTACCGTATGAAGGTGGACCACGGCGTTGCTCTGAAGCAGAAACTAGTTCGTAAATTTCCAGTTACAATGAGACATTTTGTTTAGATTTTGTTAGCACACGGTCACCGATTAGATCGCCAGTAGATTACTTCACAGCACCAACAATGGATCATGGAGGGAAGAGGAAGCCGAGGTCGAGGCCCCCGCCACCAGCGAGAAAGCAGAGTCTGCCGTCACTCGAATCTGTCCTCGATGAGGACGATGCATTCGACGAGGAACTTTCACCAAGCTCTGTGCCATCCGAAGGTGGCCTGCGCCGGACGACTAGTGAGCGCCCCCAGCAGCTCAGTGCCAATGCGGAGCGCAAAGCACCACCTGTGCACGTCCAGAGAGGGTGGCCGATGGTCTTGCCCGAAGCAGGGGAGGCGCGTGGAAGTGACCTGCCCTCCCTGTCTAAACCCCATGCACCTCGAGCACCTAGTGCACCATCAACACCATCTTCGACGTCCAGTGTCTCCTCACCTGCAACTGGCGAGGAAGCGGCTATTCCCAGTGTCACTGTTGCTCCGGCTCCTGTTGGAAACTCACCAGAGCGACTTCAGCCATCATCGAAAACTCCACATAGGATTGAAGGTAGGTATGGGTAAGCGATTGCAAAGACCCCCGACCCGTGCACCAGGTAGATCTACACAGTGTCACTAGCTCTCATTCTCACATGACCATGTGACCCATAGGCCATCAGCTCAGGAGACCTGCGCTGCGTCCACGACCGATGACCAACAAACTGAAAGTATTCGCCAACTCCGTCGACCGCAGCTTTATAGCAATTTCCCGAATAGATTTTCTTGTATCGGTTTGTGAAATCATGCCCGCTGCCTTGTCCCTAACACGATTCTGGCATTGCAGGCAATGGCCCACGCGATTAGACCTGTCGCCATTCCTTTTTATCTGGATTAGTCGTGGATGCTAGCTATGGCCAGTATGGGCCAGGGGTGCATGCGGGGAGTCGGGACACGTGTCGTTATCACTATCATTATCAAGCAAGTAACAGTTATGTCCTGGTCCTAGTAAACCGTGACACGGAGTGACCGACTACACTGTTACGTGTGATCCCGCAGGTTACTACATTCTGTAGTTACCTACGCTCCTGGGGCACTGGGCTCCTGCTAGGTCCACTCCTCGTCGGCGATCGGCATTTTTTTGGCACATAACAGGCACGAGATGCTTGTTGCTGTTGCCTTGTTGGCTGGGCATCTCTCGGTACGCGGTGCGAGCCTACGATCAGGTTGAAGCGGTCATGGCTGACTTGCCGCAAAGCGAAACGTTAGACGGCTAAAACTGAGCTGTCAGGTACACACACACTGACTGAGGTAGAAATGCCACGGTCTCGGCCGCACACTCATATCGCTGCTCCTAGCTCCTGCAATGCGCATGTACCCGTGTTAGGCCATGGGGACCATCCTCGAATCGGAAATGCTAGCGAGACGGAGTTGTCACTAGTTTTGGTTGGGTTGCCAGAGGGAGAGCAGCCTTTCAGTTTCGCATGTTGCTCTTCTCGTTGTCGTGGAACAGCACGTGGCGGGCGGTCATGTTACTCAGGTAGGAATGACCATGTAGGGGTGGCCATTCACGAGACGGGTTCTCTTTGTGTGTGGCCCTCATTTTTCTCAACACTGGCCCCGTTTCCCCGTCTTGCTTTTTGCAGAGGCGGCTGACAGTGCGAGAGAAGGTGACCAGCAGCAATCGCAACAGCAGCAGCCTGCGCCAATCAAACGCAGCAGAAGCAGGGACAGTTCACCTAATCGCTCTGGAACGGACGGCGGTGCTATCTCCCCGCCTCACAGAGCGCCACAGACATCGTCTGCTCGACCCAGGTGAGTACCACTACCAGTACATTGTATAAACTTTTCGCGATGGTGGTTTGGAGTTGCGAACTTTACTTGTCCTCGCACTATTCTTTCTCGCCGTCTTGAGGACTTCTCCAGCGACAACATCACACTTGAAACAAGTGTGCACGAAATGCAGGAAGTGATTTTTCAGAACTTAGTTCAACATGTCATGGTCATTTCCTCTATGGCTAGCGAGAAGGTGCACTGCTAGCTAGCTGTGCCTGGGAATTTTCTGCCACAATTATTTCTGTATGCTTGATACCATACATTTTCTAAAGTAACGGTTGGACTCAGTGTGTATGTGGACTCAGTGTGTATGTGGACTCAGTGTGTATGTGGACTCAGTGTGTATGTGGATGTTGCTTGTACAGTCTGTACTCCAATGTTGGTTGGTTGGTTGGTTCTGATATCCACTGGATTAGTGGTGAAATCAATGATCATGGCCATGCTATGGCATGCTGAGGCAATCCTGTGCTACCTGGCACACTTTCCCCGCTCCACATAGGCAGCAGTGGTTCGACCACCTTGGTTCAGCTCTGGATGGAATCAGAACGGGCTAACGCCCTCGGCCCTACACGCTTTCTCCAGAAGCACCGATGTAAGCCAGGCCCGCCGGACCCCGTCCGGTTGGTCAGGTTATTACAGGACCAACTTTCTGGCCACCAACGCATGTTCACTGCTAAGAGGGCTATAAGTTCCCACTATATCAAACACAATGTATAAAAGGCATTGGTACGACCGGACCAATTGAATACTGCTTCCCACGGTCCGGTATGCGACATCATGAACATGTCTTCATCAGGGGTACAAACTGAAAGATGCACCAAATGTCTGAAACAGTGATTGGGGTTGAGTACAGTGTGTGTAATTGTCCGACACACCACCCTTTAATATTTTAATATCCTCGAGAATATAAATCGGGAAAGCATACCACACATCTATGTATCTAGATGCCATGAGGAATACGTACATGTAGTATCCCACAGGGCAGAACAACACAGCCCAAAATCCTTCTCGTGACTCCGAGTTTCGTGTTTCAAAAAACACTCATCAGACGAAAGCTCTGCCCCTTTTTGAGGTATTGAGCACTGTTTGCAGCAAAGACTACAGACACTTTGTCTACATGTAATATTCCTTACTATTAAATGTCACCTTGCAGTGGAGCGATGTTAACCAACCAACAGTAAACCATTACTGTATTAACGTACTATTCGCTATCTGTGTGTGTGTGTGTGTGTGTGTGTGTGTGTGTGTGTGTGTGTGTGTGTGTGTGTGTGTGCACGGTGTGTGTGCGTATGTGTGTGTGTGTGTATGTGTGTGTGTGTGTGTGTGTGTGTGTGTGTGTCTGTGTGTTTACATTGCACAGCAGGCCAATGTTTCAGATCCCAGGACCACCTAAGTCGCCCGCTCCTGGCAAACTGCCGAGGGTGCCATCGGGCAGAGTGAGGGCAAATGTGTTCTTGTTTTTTTAGCCATGTTTGCACTGACATCTTTCGATCCCTGATCAATTAATCATCCAAGACATGCGCTTTAGCAAGAAGTCAAATCGACATTGCAGCCCAGCTTTGCGCATCTGGGTATTCTGTTTGATATGTCACAGGAAGCTGGGGGGGGGGGGGGGGGTGGAGAGTGAGAGTGTGAGTGTGTGAGAGAGAGAGAGAGAGAGAGAGAGAGAGAGAGAGAGAGAGAGAGAGAGAGAGAGAGAGAGAGAGAGAGAGAGAGAGAGAGAGAGAGAGAGAGAGAGAGAGAGAGAGAGAGAGAGAGAGAGAGAGAGAGAGAGAGAGAGAGAGAGAGAGAGAGAGAGAGAGAGAGAGAGAGAGAGAGAGAGAGAGAGAGAGAGAGAGAGAGAGAGAGAGTATGTTACAATGACCTGCTTGTTCCATTTCGGTCATCGTGACCATAAAAATATTCACAGTGAGAGAGAGATGGGCAAACGTGTACAGCTGCATACTTACAGCTTAGCCGCTTGTGTATTTTGTAGCATGGTGTTTTCTTCAGCATTATAGTGACCATGTAGCAGAGCACATCTGTGATGTGGTGACCATGTGCCATCGGCAACCTCATAGCCGATATTTTGCTTCTTTTGACTATGTTCCCGTACGTGACTGTAATACCCATGACTGTAATACCCATGACTGTAATACCCATGATGACGGCTGGTTTGGTGACCGGACTACGCTGATCATACACGAGTTACACGCCTGTAGCTGCATGATTGCCATCCACAATGTTGACTGGGTGTCAGGAAGAAAGACGATGTGTGTGTGTCTGTCTGTCTGTGTACATGCATGTATAATGTGCATGTATGTGTGTGTGTATCTGTGTGTGTGTGTGTGTATCTGTATGTGTGTGTGTGTGTATCTGTGTGTGTGTGTGTGTGTGTGTATCTGTGTGTGTGTGTGTGTGTATCTGTGTGTGTGTGTGTGTGTATCTGTGTGTGTGTGTGTGTGTATCTGTGTGTGTGTGTGTATCTGTGTGTGTGTGTGTATCTGTGTGTGTGTGTGTGTGTGTGTATCTGTGTGTGTGTGTGTGTGTGTGTATCTGTGTGTGTGTGTATCTGTGTGTGTGTGTGTGTGTGTGTGTGTGTGTCTGTCTGTCTGTCTGTCTATGTGTCTGTTGGCTGGCTTGTGTGCGTGCACGTGTGTACATTTTATCCTTTTTCTGTTGCACTGTATAGCAAGTCATGACATCCAGACTATCACCAGCCCAGACGCCTGGTGAGGACAATGCGCAGGCACTAAGAGAGGTAAGGCCACACGTTCGCTCAGAGTGTGCTGCCAGAGACTAAACAATGTACAGTACAAGCCTGTGAACCCCGTCCACTTACTCAAGAACTGCGCTTTGAGCTGCATGTGGGACATGGGCATCTCACGGCTTTGTGCAGCTGCATGACCGCATAGGCTTCTCAACTCGCGCACACAAAGTGCAGCAGTACTGCGGTAATACTTTCACTGGCCAGCTCTGAAATACAGTCAACTTCGCTAATAACGACTGCGGATATAACGACAATTCGCGAATAACGACAGAATTTCCATGCCCAGAGCAAAAGTCCCATACCACTGTAATACATATAATGAGACTTCGGGTATAACGACACTTCGCGAATAAGGACACCTTTTTGATGCCCCGCCGAGTGTCGTTATAAGCAAAGTTGACTGTACAGCTCCCATCCAACACAAGTCATTGATAGAGGGATTATTCTCTTGCAACAGGTCTCTAGTAGCATCCATAGTGTTAGAAATGAACTTCCATAGCATTATGTAAGTACATAATACTAAGTATATAATGCTCATTTTTTCTATTTTCGTATTTTTCTGTTTGGCGCGCATGAGCAGTGCTGAGGCCGAGACCCCTGGTCGGTTTAGCTGCTCTTGCCCCGCCTCCACTGCTTCAGCTGCCATCGCTATGTGCATCTCTGTGCGTTTTTGCCGGCGTTTGCACCATGATGGTTTGTGGTTATCTTGTAAAAAAAATAATAAATAAAAAAATACTACCTGAAGCCGAAGTGAATATGGGCGAATATTCACTAGTATACAAACCGAGGCAAAGTCAAGCGACGGTATCTTTTGCTCCACCAGTCCTTTGAGCATGACTTCGTGGAGGACAGAACCCCACGTCCGGAACACATTAGTTACTGTAGCCAACGAAATGCCAAACAGACGCTAGGTTTATGTGTGCAAAGTTGCACCGCAACTTTATGAGTGTTAGGAGAAGCTGATCAGTGGCGGGACCAGACGCAACGTTTCAGCCACTGACTGATATTATGTGATTTCAAACTTTGACACAAGTCAAACAAACAGTCAAAATCACCACACGTTGGGAAGCTGGTGTAATGATGAAACAGCTGGAGCCTGGTCCTCAGGGCAGAATAGGACAACTGAGCTGGTTCCTATTTTGTGCATCTTGCTGGAGCCTAGAGCACTCCGATCTTAGCTTGTTGAGTTCCATGGACAACAACGAGCTGTCTGCACGGGCAAATGAGGAGGAATTTCAGTGACAGGAGACGGCAGCGAAATATCCAGAGGTTAACTTACACCTCAGATATCCTTCGCAGTTTACTTTAACGGTTACGTGAACTTTTCGCTTCCTGTTGACACAAGAACAAGAATAAAATAAAATATCAGATGAGATGTGATCCGCTTTGCAAGAGGTTCCTGGTCATCCAATACAAAATCGCTTATCCGGGTTGTACCTTGGAAAAATTGTCGGTCCTTTGCTATTCAACCCCCCCCCCCCCCCCCCCCTCAAAATGGCAACTGCATGACCAAGAATGTTCATTTGGCTCCGGGCCATAATTGAAAATTGAAGAGTGTGTGGTCGGCCACGGAGCGTAACGGTGGTGATGGTGGTCCGCCACAGAGCGTAACGGTGGTGATGGTGGTCGGCCACAGAGCGTAACGGTGGTGATGGTGGTCGGCCACAGAGCGTAACGGTGGTGATGGTGGTGGTGTAGTCCATGTTCCAAGAACATATTCTACTCATTTCTAATTTGGGAAGTGTGCCTGGGGAGGGGGGGGGGAGGAGGGGGAGGAGGGGGGAGGGGGGGGGGGGGGGAGGGGTGGACTGTGCATTGTTGTTTGGTAGGTTGTTCATTTGCGATTCCCATATTATGTTAGCGTAGTCATGTGCTGGGAGGTGTTTCCCTGAGTAGCTCTGCTTCTGTTGATGTGTGGTTTGCAGGCTTTGGAGAAGCTGGCCACTGCAGAAAGCCAGCTTGAGGCAGAAAAGACCAAAGTGAGTACAGAATTGGAGCATACTTCATTGCCTACAGCTGTGTAGAATGTTATAGAGTACAACTGCATGTCCAAAGGCTGCTCAAATACACCCTTTATCATCGTCACGGAAGTTACCCGTCCAGACACGTTTAGATTGGTTAATCAAGGATGTTTGAATTCCATGTGGTATTTTACTTACTCCAGAATGTCTGGGGAATGGCAAAAGAAGTGTACCATTTAATTTAGCCTTGCCCATTCCAGCAGCAGTTGTATCAACTATTCGTGTTTGCACCACTCGTGTATCTAATCTTCTGTATCATGCTGCCATTGCCGTACAGAGTGGCGCTGCTATTCACAGCTTGCAAGAGGAAGTTGAGCAACTCAGAACTGAAAAGGTACGCTAGCTTTGTGCGCATAGCTATCAATGCGCATTAGTGCTATGACAGTAATATATGCACTGCACAGTTTTTTCTCACTTTTTGCAATATTTTCAGGATACGTTGGGAGGATAACATGCATGGATGAAAAATGGTCAGTTTGTTTTATGGCAGCAGCACATAGATTATACCAACCAATCCCGAAAATGTACATGTTTTCGGTTTTGCCTGTGCTGCCCACCGTCATCACTGTTCCGCATGACACACAGTGGGAAGTGGCTCCTCGCCATATCATGGCGTGTGCTGGTATGTTAGAGTTTGTTACATGGGTCTACCCCACCTGGTATGGCATATTGTTGTGCCTGAGGGCAACTTGCCCGCCTCCCGTCACACTGTGCTATCTAAGTGTAACCATGCACCTGATGTTGCATGCATTTCAGGTGGTCGAGAATGGGACAGACTATGGTCAAGAGGTGGTCGATTTGCAAGCCAAGGTGAGCAGAACGCAATACACATACAAACACACACACACACACACACACACACGACGTACACACACGCGCATACACATACACACACACACACACACACACACACACACGCCGCGCGCGTGCGCGCACACACACACACACATGCACACACGCACACAAAACAGACACACACACACTCACAATACACATGCATGCATGCACACACACACGCACACACACACACACATACACACACACACACACACACACACACACATACACGCACACAATGCACACACACACACACGTGCACGCGCGGACACACACACACACACACAGTTAGCCATTATCTGTAGCTTATGAATACATGTGGTTGAGCGATAGGAAACCCTATTGAATGATGATGTGCTTATATGTGGTAAACAGAGATGGCCCATTGGTTGGCCTGTGGCTATTCTCCCAGATTAACTTAGCTTACAGCTGCCTTGTTGCTCCAACCTAGTTGCAGCCGTGGACAGAATGTGCTTCCTGCGCTGGCTGCCCGAGCTTAACATAGCGTTCAGTGGCGGATCCAGGATCCGGAACAAGGGGGGGGGGGGCACACTACAGGCTCAATGGAACAAGTTTACTTTTACAATGACTTTTGTGATACTCAAACATGTAAATGTATGGGCACTATGGGTATAATATAACAATCAGAATCAAACAAGGTAAGTTGCTTCCTTCTCTTCATTTTCGAACTGCTGTAAAACAACAACGAGGTTCTGGAACGCCAAGGCAAGTGAAGTTTGCAAGGCAAGGGCAGGAAAATCTACACATTGCCATGCGAAGTTTTGGACTGTGTACTTGCACTTGTACCGTCTTTGTTTTCGTACTACGAGTACAGTGCAGTACTAGACCAAAACCGTAGTTCTGGTGCGCACGGATCGCGGATCGCGGAATACAGATCGACGCGACGAGAGTTGACAGTTCACAAGTTCAGTACATGCGTACCGCGTATCGATCTACGGACCCGGTGAACCAGTGCATGAATGTGTACAGTGCATGCAGTACAGCGACTGGGCCTTGTCATCTACACAGGAAGTGCGCGCGAGCTCGGTTTCGATCAAGATCAGTAAAAAAAAAGTCGGTCGGCGCTTCTGAAGGGGGGGGGGGGCACGTGCCCCCTTCGCCCCCCCCCCCCTCTAAATCCGCCACTGGCGTTTGCCTACTGTATGAACAGCAGTGAAAAGTTGACAGGTTCAGATGGCAGTGGTGACCTTAACCTGTGTGTAGACTTGGTATCTGAGCCATCAGTTAATGTCCTGACCACTAAATGATCTTCTCATTATCGCTCAATCTATATACCTGTTTCTGCCGGTCTTTCACCGTTTGCATTTGTGCTCTGCTCACTTCCACTCTCTCCTGCATTTGACAGGTGTCCGAGCTGCAGGCGGCCTCAAGACGATGCCAGGCTCTGGAGAAGAAACTGGCAGCAGCCGAGGAGCTAGCCAAGCTGGCTGATGAAGATGCACAGAGTGCACGCGAGGACATCACTGCAGTTCGTCAGCAGCTCAAGGAGGCACACCAGAAGCTCAAGTCATCGTCCATGAGCTCTCGGGTTTCTAAACCTGACGGCGATGAAAGGTACTTGGTCCGCGTCAGCGATATTGTCGCTTATCTTTCAGCTTTGTTTATATGTCGCCAATGCTCACTTGGCAGCCCATTTCATCCCAATTTTGGTTAGTAAGTTAGTTTACTAGTACCTGAAAAGTCTAGCTAGATTTTGAGTGGATTTCTAGAGCGACGGTAGGGTGATTTTGATTGACACAGCGCCGCATCAAAATAGATGATCTTGTTACACTGTGCAGGCAAGAGCAGCGCTAGCTACAGGAAAGTAATCGGCTACTCGGAATCAGCTCCATTTTGCTGAACGGCCGAGATCGCTTACCTCAGGGATCTCTCGTCAAGCTGAGATCGCAGCTCCCTTACCTCCAGCTCAACGCCATGAGTATCCAGCGCGACAAGGAGATTTGCAAGTACTGTACGCGTCGTCGTCGTTCAAAATAAAATCTTGCAAAGAACGGCGTCTGATTAGAACCACACAGGCTGTCGTGCTGCCCACGCGAAGTCTTATAGAGAAGGCGACGATCGACTTCTCTTTAGAAAATAGCGAGGCAGCGGAGAGAGATGAGCTTGCAAAAGCAAGAGGGTCAATCCCGAGCAAAAATATTTGTCACCAGCGCCAAGAGCAGCGACGAGGAGGACCGAAAAAAGTATGAACCCTTCCTTGGACAATAAATTCCTCATAGCTAGTTGTCATTCTATACCTTACCTTCCATTGTACCAAGTTTTATCACTTCACGTGCACGCGTTGATGTCCAAAGTCAAAGTTCAAATTGTCGAAAGATAAGCGACAATATTGCTGACGCGGACCAAGTAGTTGGGTAGAACCGATCGAGCCTGACAGTGAATTCAATTTACCAATCAATCAACCAATCCATCAATCAATACTCCACTTTCCTTGGTGCTCTGGTCTGACTTAGAAGTCAATTACCCATGGTCTTTGTAGCATCCACAGAGGGTGCTGGGGGACGGTCCCTACGGATGCTGAAAACTCGGCCTCCGGCCAAGTCCAATGCAAACTGTGGAAAAATGTTGAAGCATTTTTCAGGGTAGCTTTGTAGTGGATGAGGCTAATGCCTTAGACCTTTGCCAGCCACTTGTGAATATTGTCTGCAGTGCAGCCACTTTAAACATTATTGATGTATGTAATGCTCATTTTCCGTTACAGGTGTAAAGCATTGGAGGCGGAAATTAGCAATTTGAAAGAGCAAGTTGAAAGCTTAGATGGCGAGAGGTCACTAGTACTGGCTGACTATGACAGTATTTCTGCTGAGGTAAGCGGCTAGCTCCACTTTGCACCTGTCTCCACAGATTGTACAATTTCATTACAAGTGCCTGGCTGACATCTAGGGATGATTTATGTGAAGAGCAGGAATACAAAACCCGCCAAGCGTGGAAGTACGGAAAAAGAAAACGGAGATATAGCGAGGAGCTGAAAGCAGCACTCAGTGAGGTGATTCAGGTCTGGGATCTTAAAGAAAATTGACAAAAATGGATTTAGCGAGTTTGGATTTCCAGTTCTTCATGTGCAGGCTTAGCTAACTAAATCTGCCTATCTCTCTTTGCCTTGCGCTTTCGCCTGGTTTTAACGTTATTTCCATATCACTGTTCAGGTTGATGATCTTCGAGCAAAGAAAACTGAACAGGGGGCTGAGAATGCGGAACTGAAAGTGCTGGTAAGACATAGTTGTGTGTCAACATGTTGAGGTCGGCCAGAGTGTTGTGGTAGTTGAGGTCAAGTGTTGTGATACGCCCATACTGGTGGGTAAAGTTTTAATGTATATGCCAAGTTCTTTGGCGACGGCAGACAAGAATATTTTGTCTTCCTGTTTGTAGGGAAAATTCAGCTCAACAACGTACAAATGTAGGTGTGTAGATGCGTCTGGCAATAAATGATCAGAGATGATGTTCCCCATGCGGGCTCATTGAGTATATCATAAGGCATAACTCTGTATGCAAATCGAAGTGAAGGACGTATTTACTATTTATCCATCAGTCTTATCTGGAAACCCTCTATTTTTGATGTTACTACACATGCGAAAGATCTTTACCCAGTGCTCATATGTTGATGTCCATGTTTGCACGTATTTTGGCTGAATACAGATGAAAGGCCAAGAGGATGAACTCAATGCTGAGAAAGCTGTTGCCAAAAGTGCAAAACAGCAGGTATGAGTGGATGTTGAGCTGCTTCAAAGTACATACATGTAGCCGGTTGCGAGCATAACTGGACAATGTATCCAAAGGGATTGTTATGGGTAACAGTGTATGGGGGGAGGGGCGGGGGGGGGGGGGGGGGGGGGGATTAAGAGACTAGATGTACCGTGCTGATGTTTGTCCGAAGTATAGGATACATGTGTGTGTACAACGTGTATGGTGTGAAGCAATGGACTATATTGCGGGCATGCTTGCACAGCATTCAACCTGGTGACCCCCTTTTTGATTGTAGTGTCAAAAGCTTTGACGCTGTTGATATACGTCCTGTGTGCCGTTTGTGTTTACAGTGAATCCTCCATACTCTAGTACATGTACATGATACTGTACATGTGTTCTTGTGTTGTGTTAGGTTAGGGATTTGGAGTCTCAACTCAAGCAAGCACTGTTGCGACAGCAGGAAGCCGAGGAAAAGGTGAGCATGGTTCACATGAGAGTCAGTCATTTTGCCTTCTTTTCAACTGCCTTGGATAAAGCGAAAACAAGCATGGTTTGCAGGTCATGCATGTTTGTGTGTGTGTGTGGGGGGGGGGGGGTAGCTTAGCAGAAGAGAAAGCAGCTTAACCTGCGGAAGTACCATACGTGTGTGGCTTTGGCTGCATGTAACATGTCACTACCTCACAGAGGTTGTGATTGCTATTTTGTTTGTGTTGCAAACAGGTCAATTCACTGACACAAGAAAATGCCGCCCTGAGCACTCAAGGTTCTTCAACACAAACACTTCAGCAACAGGTAAGCAGAACCGTTGCTGCTGCTGAGCAGAATATGATCAGCAGAGTACAGTATAACACTGAAGGTGGTGGGTGCCCTTGGTTACAGTATTCGTCCTGGGTACGCCAGTGTTTTCAGGGCCAAGACTGCACAACACCCGACACTAACTGACTCATGAAGCTACAGACTGTACTGGGCACCACCGTACATGTAGTACTGTACTCGTATAGCAGGATGTTGCGCCTCGATGCCTCTACCTCAACGCCTCTACCAGACATACTATCGTAGTTTTAAAGAGATCTCTGTGAGAATCTTTCCGATGATGCGCTTTCTTTTCGCTCAGATTGCAGCAAAGGATGCCGACATCCAGAAATTGCAGACAGCAAATGCCAGTTCAGCGGATAAGGTGAGATTGTGTTCTGTTGAGGTAGCCCTGGCTTAATTGAAGTATGGGCTTATTTCTGGCAGTTACACAATATTGAGATATGCATGTTACACAATATTGAGATATGCATGCATAACTGTTACAGGAGGAGAACGCGATCAACTGTGTGCTGCACTTCTGAGAGGTATGGAGATACGGACACTCTCAGAATAATCTTTAATTATAGCCAGTGGATATGCCATACCAGCTCCGAATGCGGCTGCTGTTAGTCAACAAATATTCGGTGCGTATATATTGTCGGCTATTTTCGGCCTGGTCATGTTTGGCCAAACATTTGTTGCGGCCGAAATTTTGTTTTGCAAGGTTCGGTGTGACAGTGTGTACAGGCAGCAGCACAGGCCGAAAATTTGATGCGGCCGAAATGGGTTTTAGCCCTGGGAGGCCGACATTTGAATGGGCCGAAAATGTGTAGGCTTACAGTAAGCTTCTTGGGGAAGAACACCATGTGATCAATGTTGTCTTGCTTCAGCTTGCGACCATGCGCGGTGACCTTGACAAGATCAAGAAGGACCTGGAAGAGGAGAGAAGCACGGTGAGTGAAAATATGTTGGTACATGGCATGCCACCAGCGGTGACGATGCTCACATGTCATATTCTTCTACAAGTGTGCTGTTGCAAACATTGCGATGAACCCATTGCCCCATATGCATGGTATTGATCTGGAGCTCACAGAAATGAAAACGGAACAGTGCTTTTGCTCAATTCGGTCGATGAACGTGATTGCAGCCATGAATGACAGAGGCGCGTGAGATTGCAGTTACACGTTGCCATCTGTGTCTGTTTGTCTTTAGGCTCAATCACTTAGAGAAGAGCTAGCAGCCAAGGAAGAAGAAGTGATGACAATGACTGAAGAGGTAAGATCGGCATGCTCACTGGTACACGGTCCTTAGCCCATCTACAATGTCATGCCGCGAACAGCTGCATACTGTCAAAGAAACTTGCAATCAGCAATTACAGCATCCTGGTCACGGACGTTTATCAATGCGGCGTGGACCGATGATTACGTTCACGGTGCCCAAAGTATTTGAAAGGTTGTAGTAAATAATCGACGCGGATAAAGGTTGTAGTCGGATTCTATATACCTGGTTGTCTGTGTCTCATAATGTCCTCTTGACAACAGGTAGCTGAGCTAAATCAGACAATGCTTGCCGAGGCTGGTCACAGCAAGAACCTGGAGGCACAAGTAAGCGCATCTGTTCTTCGCCAATGCTAAAGCACTGGGTTGTTGAATGTGGGCATAGAAGTACTGGTTGTGATGTGTGCTCTCTACTAACAAAAAACTAATACTAATAGGAGGGACGGCATTGCTTTCCACAAGGGTTCCCACGGCTGGCATGTGATAGCCAGAAGTCACTTGAAAGAACACATCAAAATTAATGTAAGCGGGACGTGAATGCATGACAAATGAGTTAGAAACTGGAAGAAAAAGCACTCATCCGGGGAATGCACTTGAGTTATAATGAGCTGTGGGTACTGTGACATATGTACGCCTGCATAGTGTTGTGTATTCAGTGCTATTCACCTCTGGGAAAACTGACAGTCTAGCTACTACAAACACTGATTACTGTAGAGACTTACCAGGAAGAGGGTTATTTGGACAAATCCCTGGTAATACCCTCAATTAGATGATGTGAATGAGGTGTCACCGGAAATCAGAAATGACCCATACGATACCTGAGATCACGTAGTTGTGTTTGTTGTCCTACATGTATGATACAACTTGTGGCAAGCATGTACATGTACTTGGTTGGGATAGTAAGCATGCAGGGCTGGCTGTTCGACACCTTACAAGTTACAGCCTACAAGTAATAACTAAATTACTTACTTCGTAACAGTCCACACTGTCCACCCTAAGTACATGTACTAGTGTAATTCTATGATATGGATAACACCTTCACTTCAGGCTGAGGCTGAGGCTGAGCATTGGAGCATATAGCTTGTAGCATCGGATTTCTAATACAGATGATCACTCGCCCTTGAACGCTACTGCAAGACTCCGCCATACGGACTCTATCTTTTTTCAGAAATAGTTGTGGTGCCTTGATTCGAATCCAACCATGCGCATACACCTGATCACAGTCACATGACATCAAACATCACAATAAGAAGCAATGGTGTCACGATGATGTTATCAGAGACACATCACAGTGTGTGAACACAGGCACAAACGGTGACGTCCTGGCAGCAGTACTGCATTGGTACAAGTCCTATAGCAACGTCAAACGTACTGTAGATATATTTGGGGGGGATGCTGTTTGATTCATTCTACAAGAACATGATGAATACCATCAGTCCACTGGTGCAAGCAGTAGAAGTGAAGCTCTGGCTTTAAACAGTATTGCGCATGATGATGGTGATGCTGACAATGTTGGAATGGTGCTTCGGTCTGGACATTCAGTTTAGATTTAGTTTCGACTCAGTGCTGTACTGGCATCAATGATATGTACTTGTATGTAGTCTGAAAGTGACAGCAGAATGATGTCATTTCATAGCCTACAATCCCTACAATACATGTCCTGTCATGAGTCAGAGTACAACGTACTCTAGATCTTTCTGAGCTGTGATACCAACAGATGACAGCTACAGTCATCAATGGGTGCCCTGTTTAGCATGTCACTTTATCGCTTAGTAACAGAGTTTTGTACACAAGTGCATGCAGTGGAGTTGGGCACTTGAATGGCAAAGCCTAAGGCGTGGGTGGACACTGGGCAGTACACATGTGACTTGAACTACTTGTACTACAGTAGCCTATAGTAGTACCTCGTGCTCCTGTAGAACCCCCCCCCCCTCCCCCCCCCCCCCCCCCCCGCATTGATGCCGATTGGTGAAGTAGATCAAAATGACAATTACTTCCAAGGCATGATTCCAGTTGTAAATAGTCTAGTGTTTAGATGTTATGACTTCATCATCATGTGGAACTACACTGTTGCATACGTGTATTTAATAAGACTGTATTCAGTTAGCGTTGGTCATGCTGTCTGCGTGACATCTGACCACGGTCATCAGTCCACGGTACATGTTGGAAAATGTTGTTCCACAAACTACCCAGTGCCCAACCTTGCAGCCAGGCCATGTTTGTGCTTGGGCCCTTGTGCTGGTGGGCTGTGAACAAACTAGTACTGACAGGAAGCCCTTCCTTGTTCATCTCTAAGTCTAAGACTCTATGTGTGTGTGGGCAGGGGGGGGGGGGGGGGGGGAGATAGTGCTGTGATGCAGCATGTGACATAGCAACATGACTCCCAGTATCGTAGTCCTGGGGATTGGTATCATCTCTGCATATACATAATTATGTACATGTGCTCCCACAAGTACAGATGAAAGAAGCATGCATGAATTGAGTGTCACCTGTGAATCATGTGATAATGATACCTTTATCTGTGACCAAGGACAATGCATGAAGTGCCGGGCCTAGTCTGGAGTAAGAGCCATGTGACGTCCATCATGGATAGGGCATGCTACACTGCTGAGTACTGTCACTGCACTGGTCCGAGTCTCCAGTGCACTAGTGGAGAGTAACCACTGAACTAGTGTCTTCTCATCCCTGGTGCCAGTAGTGGATTTAGCAACATAGCTTGTATTCCACTTCTTCCAGACAAGCCTCCTTTGTCGAGTTTGTGTCATAAAAGGACTTGTCTGACCTCTTGAACTGCATGATGGAGGCTTAGTGCACAGTGCATGGCAGGGCTCCAGTATGCCTATAGCTATGGTCACTCAGTAATTAGTTTAGTAGACTGTAGAGTGGTGGTGACACATGCTACTTTACTTACAATCACACTGCCGCACTGCACATGTATGTACAACACTAGTACTCGTAGTAGTAATACATTGAGTCCCTGGATACTGTTGAACTGAGCTAACACCCAGTTTGACCCACATGCAGGCACAAGAAGACCCCGTGCCGCCGTGGAGACTTGCCAACACTAGTACTAGTACTAGTAGTAGAGGCACCCTGTATCATTGGCACGATGTGAGATGATTTGACTTTTGGAAAAGACAATAATTATTATCACGAAACTATGGCATCACGGAGCAGTCAACCTATTGGTGGGAGAAGGTGATATTCTAAGTTTACAAGAAGACCCAGTGAATAGTTAAGATACCAGGAAGAACAACAAGGTCATGGCCTACACTAGGCTACAGATCCATGCAGTGTGTGCACCACACCAGTACTTAGAGTGTAGAGTGGTGTTTTGTTAGTGATGACTGAAACCATTGACTTCTTTCCCTTGCCTCTTGCCAGCTGCACTACAGCTGCACTACAGGAGTGGTTGAAAGAAGCTGCTTGGCCCATCTAGGTGTAGTGGTAGATCAACTCTATCTTCTTTTGAGTGCCACTACAAGAGCTGCAGCACCTGTAATGTCCAGTGCGTTTCACCTGCTGACTGGCACCCTTCTGGTGTGCTGGGATGCATGTCTGGGCTTGATAATACCACGCAGAAGTTGACTCAGGGCAGAGCGGCACGACTAACGAATTGAGTTAATTTTGTAGCCATTGCCAGGCGGATTGGCCTAGTACTAGTAATCGCTGCTTCTACACTCATCAACCAACTGCAGTGTCAGGACGATGTTTCTCCTTCGCCGCTAGAGTCTGTGACAACACATCCCATTCGGTCTTGTATCTTCTCCTGGAACACTGGATTGGAATGTTGGTGCATTCCAGTCGTGCCCCACAGTGACTACTCAGTACTGTACACACACTTTGACTTTGTATAACCACTTCCATGGCTGGGTGTTTTCCGGGCTTGCCGCAGAACACCCCTAATTATAATGACTACTAGTATGTCTTTGCGACTTACACACCCTCTCCCTCTCTTACCCTCCCAGCTGGGAACAGTGCAGTTACGCCTCCATTCAAAGGATGTGCTTGTTAATGTCACCCTACTTCATCTGCTTGTACATTCCACCTCGACTTCAGTGTCCAGCCACTCCAGTGTCAGCTTCCTCAAGCACACAGACAGGGTACTGCCATTATCTTTAGTTTCCCGATGGCCCTCCATGATTATGACTAATATTAATAATGACACTCACAGAGAGAGATTGAGAGAGAACAGTGCGGTAGATCTACTCTTCCTGATCCTCTTCTTACCCTATGCGCCACCTCTTTCATACCCTGGCTGGCCCCATCCAATCAACGGTCATAAGCCGCAGCGACGTTACATCTGATCAGATGTTGTGGGCGCTGCCATGCAGGACACGTGCAGGCGGAGATTTGTCACGCTGAGAGCGATACGCGTACACGCCATGCGCGATGATTGTGCAAAACAGCGTTACTGCACGCGACCTTGCGCGGCAAACTACACACAATCCCCGTGACGTCACGTGATACCACGCCTCCTCATTCTCACATTTTCGCTTCAAACTGGGCCTCAACTCGCTCAAGCTCTGAAATCAGAGGATTTCTAGTAATTTTCTACGCCCTGGTTCTGGCACTAATAGTAATCAGGTAATAGTAATAGTAATAAAGTTAGTTAGTTCCATCCGTCCATCCTCATATTACTACTACTACTGAGACTGAGTACTACCTAGTACTAGTAACCGGCAGCGAGAGCACTAAGAAAAGTTGTGAAAACTGTGTCAATAGAACATTGGTGAATGGGCCGATATTCGTCTGCACCGGCCTTACGACTGTTTCGGCGCTTGGCAATGATCAATACTAGTGATAAACTCATCGCTCTTACACTTTACGGTTGGCGCGAACGTGATGAACAACAGAGTGAAGTGGCCGAATGCCCTCGTGCGAGTACCGTGGAAGGGTTACCTGTGCAGAGCCGCCTAGCTAGAAGTCTGCATGAGCATGAGCCCCTGACCGATACCGCGCAGCTATACCTAGTTTATAACAGAATCACGTCGATCTACTGCTCGTTCACAGCTTGTTTTTGCTCGCTCACTTGACTCAGCGTGTTGAGCTGATGAGCCCCAGACTTGAACTTACTTCGCCTTTTTGCTCTTGATTCGGTTCGTCTTCGCGTTCAAACAGAACTACCTACATGCGCTTGAAGACGGAGGTAGATAGAAGCTTCGGTTTCGACCGTGTTCTGTCATCTGGCACCTGTTCCATCGTAACACCCTTGTGTAAACAGGCGGTAGTCCGCATGCGCACTGATTGTTGACAACGTTTCGTCCTTGACAGAACTAGAGACTAGAGCCTGTATCGGGTAGCTTTCGCAGACCCCAGATTGCGATGGCATCTCTGGTTACCTCCTCCCCGCTGCAAGAACCCAACGCCTTCGGCTTTGCTGGCTGGAGGAGGTCACTGCGGGCGCGTCGCGGTCCGCCACCACCCAAGTCCCCTGGCAAAGTGAGCGATTCCTCCTCTGCACCTGTCGACAACGTCCGTCACTTACTGGGTCAGAAGCCCGTCAGCGTCGGAACGGACGAGCAGGAGCAAACGCAACAGTCTAACCAGGATGAGCCAGCCTCGCCTACACTCTCGGCCGTCGTGGCCCACCAGCGTTCCAACAGCATTGGTCGGACGTCCAGCTTTCGCAATGCCATGCGGAGTCCAATGGTAAGCCCAGCAAGTACATAATTATGCCCATTCGTAGTATAGCCCGACGGAACGTAACATCACGCATTCTACATTTTGTAGATCTACACGAGCAGTCAGAAAAATCGACAACTAAAAATGTTGTTTGTACTTTCGGATACTGACTCTCTGTGTGTCATCGCACTAACTTGTGCTCTCAGTCTCACTACAGTTTCCTGGTCAGATCTTCGCTAGATTCTATTATCCATTCTAGTCTCCTGTCGGCTCAGTCAGTGTCGCACGAAGCAAACGATCGCTTGTTGTGGTGATGTACTCGTAGATATACAAGTCATGCAGAATCTAGTAGTAGCGTAATCTACATGGTTCATTGATTGTGTTTCAGGACAAGAGCGAACATCATTATTATAGCCTACAGTAGCGACGTTACGTTACTTGTTCGTTTCAGATGACCAAGCCGTGCTTCTGCTGTTGCTCGTGCCGATGCTGGACTGTGGACACGAAATCATCCTTTCCGAATTATTTTGTCATGTGTTGTAGCATGGAGTGGAGTAGAGTTGGCGAAACCTGATCTATAATTCGGTCGGGGGAGATTGCGCAGCAATGTTTATATTCGGGTTGAACCCCCGTTCTTCTTCAACCTTCGCCTCCTACATGTTGCCCCTGTCCCAAGCTAATGGCATTACTAGTAATGGTGTGCGCCGTCAACGCACGTGGCCATCGTGGTGATTCTTCTTCATGGGCAAGTGAATGCCAGTCGAGGCTGATTGTTTGATATGCACGCATACTATAGGATATTCGCCCCGCTGCGGGCAGAGGGAGGGTTGTTTCTTTGCGTCTCCCTGAAGTTTTGCGCGTGTGGACGTTGCTGGAGTCTAGTCTGGGCTCTGCAGCATGTGCATGCAGCCTACATGACTGTATTCGGTCCTTTTGCGACTTTTTGAGAGGTTCCATCATGTTCACGCTGTGCAGGTGTCGATCTATCATCAGTTCCATTCCTGGCGAGACTGAGATCGACATTCCGACTCGACCAATCCGGTTCCGAGTATCCTGATATCCGGGTTATCCCCGTGTCACACTCACACTCACTGTGACTCAGTGACAGTCACAGCGTGAGCGAAGGCTTGCTGCTCAGCGTGCATGCTGTGAACTACCCGCGGTGCCATTCGACTGGCCGGGTCTTGACACGTACTGACGGAGTCACTGACTGCGGCTGTCTAGTAAAGACAAAAGTAGTCGTGGTCGTCAGTACAATGACGGTAGCTATTCCGGGCTACTATGCATGCTGTGCGTTCTTCCCTTGCCAGTTTTGACATTGTTTGTGGGGAGTGATGATGGTGCTGCAGCGAAGCAGTCTTTTACGGTCTACACTACAATTACCTCACACTGTGCTAACATGACCTGTCACCCTCTTGTTTCTTCCTTGCCCTTTCTTCTGACACGATGTAATACATACAGTTCTCGATGTTTAGTCACAAGGCGCCATGTAAGGTCGAGTGACTTTGCTTGTAAAATGTACAGTGGGATTTATTGTCACAACTGGTGTTCCTTTGGGGGTCACCGTCGATAAGCCAGTAACACATGTTTCTCACTGTAGTAGTGTAACAGTTGCTAATGTTGCCAGATAGAATTCCTACCGTGTGTTGATTGATTGTTATCTTGGTGTCGAAGTAATGCCCGTAGCTGTCGACCTGATTCAACTTGTGGAAAGCAACAACAGTCATTGTGCCCCTACCCGCACAACTTGTGTATGGAAGCAAAAAGGAAATTCCGAACGAAAGATAACAATTTTTTAATGAAATAGCATCCCAGTATAGAGAGATCATGGGTAACATATGGGGTAGCTACTGTGTTTTGTATGTTCCTCAGAACTCGTAGTGCTGCTGCTACGACTACTCCATGCAGCTACAGGATATAGATCATCATCGGCTCCGGGTTTCCTCATACGTGAATAGATGGCATTAGTGTCACAAGAGGAAATTTCTGTATGAATGCAAATTGTTGCAATGAAATACTTTGTTGTCATGGTTTCATGTGTCCTATTGTTGTGGCTGTTGCTGGTTCTGCCATATCCAGAGCAAAATGTGATGTGTGGAGTACAGTGAGTGGATGCTAGTCATTCATCAACTGATGGCCTGTTTGTTTGTGTATATATGTGTGTGTGTGTGTGTGTGTGTGTGTGTGTGTGTGTGTGTGTGTGTGTGTGTGTGTGTGTGTGTGCGTGTGCGTGTGCGTGTGCGTGCATGTGTATGTGCATGTGTGTGTATGTGTATGTGTGCGTGCATGTGTGTGTGTGTGTGTGTGTGTGTGTGTGTGTGTGTGTGTCCTGTGATTTGGTGCTGGTGGCTGTCGTTGTTTTGTGCAGGCACTATCCCTGGAAAAGGAAAAAGTCAACCTAGCAGAGCAATTGAAACAACTGAAGCCGTCTGGGAAATCCGCTCCTTCAAGTAGTAGTGCTGCTGTGGCATCCACACCAACTGCAAGTGAGTCCGAGAAGTCACCAGGATCGGCTGACTCGACTGCACCGGGTGATGGAAAAGTACAGGCAGAGGAGCAAGTGCTTCCGGTGACGCCGCCTCTGGCCCGTGCAACCACGGGCAACCTTTCCGTCGGCGAAGTGACTAAGAACGAAGAGGTGGACAAGACCGATATCACGGCACATCCCACACAGCCCAAAGCCGAGCCATTGAGCAACAAGATATCTCCGGCCAGCATCCGTTCAAACACCAGCAGCGGCAGCGGCACGCCGCCATCTGTCACCCCATACTCTGTGCACAAGAAGAGATTCTCGATGTCCCGCGAGACCACACCCGAAACCAGTCCTGAAACGCCGCGGAAAGACGACGCACCCGCATCGGACAGCGTCGGAGATGCTGATGCATCCGTGCAGGAAAAGCCGTTCACTTCCAAGCAGCCACATTCGTTCATGAGGTCCAATGCACCGTCTGGTGTGGCTGCGCTTGCGGCCGTGATGAGTGGCGTTGGCTCCAAGGTGGGTCCTGCAAAGAGCGGCAACACGTCCGTCGCCAAGGCCGTTGAAGGCGACAATTCAAGTGCAGTACAGTCTCCAGCTGGTAAGAAGGTCTTTACTGAGACAGTCATAAATGGAATCCAGTCACGTAGGAAGTCAAGTTGAGCTGTTGAACGGAAGCATGGCTTGTCATTATGCAGGGATTTTACGCTTTTGTTCCCAACGTGCATGGCACTTCAATTTTTGGACAGGCAATACCAGCACTAATGCTGGTCATGGGAACGGGAAGTGTAGTCATGGGAACGGGAAGTGTAGTACTTGTTGGTAACAGTCAGCTGCATGGCCTGGTCAATGTGCCGGGGAAACATTTTGGAATTTTGGATTGTGCTGCTCAGATGTTGACATACTCTGTAGGGACCAATGTGCTGACAGATGCGCTCTTGTTTGCATGTATGTTGTGCTCGTCCAGGTGGCAACACTCCCAGGATAGGGACGACACCGAATAGTTCTCCTTTGCAGCCAAGGCGCCCCGCTCCCACCGCAAGGCCAAGGGCCCGTGGACAAGCACCCATGCCACCACTGGCAAAACGAGAAGCAGCGACAGCAGCAGCACCGCCAGCGGAGAATACGGGTGCAGATGTGTCAGCCGATGTGTCACCGACAGAGCCAGCATCTGCTGTTCCTGCAAACTTGAAGACGACACCTAAATCATCGCCGAAGCCATCACCGAAAATAGCCCGAAAGCCACCGCCAGGAAGATCAGTTCCACCGCCTCCAAAGAAGGTCCTTCCACCTGCACCTCAACGCAAAGAATCCTTTGATGAAGAATCAGCTCAGGTGGAAGATGCTGTGGGAAACGATGAAGAAGAGATAACCCGGGAGAGCCAGCCATCTAAATCTCCATTAGGTATGATAGGGGATGGTGTGATGGTCTAGCTGATACGCAGTGTTCAGCAGTAGGGGACGAGATTGGGAAGTTACTCGCTCAGTTGTAGCAACCTGATGAGAAGGCATCAAAAGGTCTTTGGTTATACATATCCCTTTTTGAGAGAAGTAGGAAAATAAAGTCTACATTTGGTCTCAGTGCCATAAGCAGTCTGAGGATGCGAGACAATAGTTCGGAGCAAATCTTCTCAATTCCCGCTGGTGGTATCTACTGTTTACAATACTGCTGACATACGGTAATCACTTCATGACTTGTATTGTACTTGGTTGATTTTGGTGTGTCTAGGGGATATTTCCGGGGAGTTTGACGCCATATCTCCGGCAACGATGAAGAAGCTGGGAATTTCTGCTGGAAGGGAACGAGTTCGACTTGGTGCGCAAGGCGGTCTAGCTGGAAGGCGCAAACCAACACGAACACATCTGCGTGGTGCTGCCGACTCGGGCGACGAACTGTCGCAAAGTGACGCTGAGCCTATGGCGGATGACAGTGGGACGCAGTCAGCGAGTGAATCTCCGGTAAGCAGAGTTCTGTTAACCAATGCAGGCTGGTCTTTTGATAGTTGCATTGCCCTTCATTACTGCATGTGGTGTTCATACGCGCTGGCATGCGGATGTTCGTGTACAAACAATCATGTATGGGTGTGTCCTCATCCTCTCTCTCTCTCCCCCCCCCCCTCCTCGGCCTTTTAGTGAATCTAGAGCAAAATTTGTAGGTATAAAAAGCATTCATTGACAAACCTTTGGTGAATTCACGCACATTCTTGTCTTCTTGTTTTCTTGTCCTAGCTTGTCTCCAGAGCTGCTATGTCAGCTGCAGCTTCCTCAGCACTGGCAGCAGCCGCTGCGGCAGCAGTCAGTGGCCGGCCCTCGGCAGCAGCAGCAGCAGCAGCAACAACAGAGCCGGCCGAAGGCTCTGCCGATACTGAGGAAGAAGTCTCAGTTCCTGGTGTACGCATGGATCGAGCAGCAACTGTGTCCTTGGGACAGCCAGTGTCTTCCTCTGCATTGCCCGATCGTCGTCGAGGACCGCCAGGCGACGTTGACACTATTGAGGAGGGCGAAGAGGATGGCGACGGACTTCGTAGGCTAAGGGCAAAGACACTAGCCGGTGGAATTGACTTGCCATTGGGTGGATTCCTTCCGGCCACAGGTGCTGGCCCTATGAAGCCGTCGGATCTGAAGAAAAACAACAACCCTGTCGCCAAGCCGGCTCGAAAACCTCCGGCACCTACGCCTCCAGGCCGAATGCCGCCACCCATACCAGAAGCTGGTGGTAATGGCGATAGTACTAGTCGACCCGACTCCAACTCTTCCAGTGTAGTGGCTGTGGAAGTGAATGGTGTGGCCGTCGATGAGAATGACGATCAGGATCCGGACGTGATCACGGAGACCATGAATCAGACCGATTCCAGATATGCAAGTGACATGGAGGATGAGGACAGTAGTGACGATGCGCCGACATCGGCTGGCGAGCATGGTGACAATCTCACCGTTACCAGCCCATCGGCTAGCTCGGCCGTATCACCGCAGCATACCACCGACAGCGACGGCGTTGGTGCCGGCGCTAGCTTCTCCTCGTTCAGTCGAGAGAACCGTCGCTCCGGCCTGCGCACGGCCATGGACTGGTCCGTGGACGAAGTCTCCAATTGGCTGCACTTGATGAACCTGCCAGAGGTGGGACCCATCTTCACGAAGTTTGATGTCGATGGACAAAAGCTGCTATCGTTGGACGGAGCAAAAATGAAGGTAAGCACATATTCGTACTCTGCAGTTGTTTCCATGATTGATATGGACACTCTTCCTGCACATGGGTTAGACGTTCTGTTGATAATCACTTTACAGTGTATTTCGAAAAGGGTTATCTCCCTACAAGAAAAAAAAGTATGCACCCCCGGTGGGATTCGAACCCACAACCTTTGAATGCCGTCAAGCAGCTAGCCCGAATAGAAGTCCAATGCGCTGATCCATTGCGCCACAGGGGTCATGCACACTGAGGATGCCTGAAGGAAGGTGAATGAAATTGGCAACCATTTACACAGCTCCTGTTTTGCAAGAAAACAAGACCCCATGTCTTCCTGAACATTTTCAAGTGTTATTCTGAATTTGCCTTCAAACTCCATTATTCTAATCTGGGATGGTATTTTGTTTTTGTTTTACTATTCAGATTATGGGTGTGACGAATGCAGTGCAGGTGGCCACCCTGAAGAAGGAAATAAAGACTATGAAGAGTCAAGTTGAGAAGATGATGAAAGACGAGAAGAAGCGTCTCGAGCGTGAAGCAAAGTTAGAGAAGAAGAGAAGGGAGGATGAGGCGAAGCTAGCTAAGCGTAACTCTAAGAGGAGGAGATAGCTTTGGCCACAATTATTGAGAGAATGAGATAGGACATAATTTATTTTGGCTTTGTGGGTTTTTTTGCATTTGAATCAGATGTGTTGAAGTGAATGCTAGGACGCAGTGCAGCTACTGCACTGATATTCTTTCCCTTTGCCACTTTCTTATACTGAGCAAGTGCATGTGCTGTCCTCATGCAGGTGTTTGCGGTATCATTGAATGTTTGTTGTTACATGCATACTATAGTAATAACTATTCACGGTTCTAATATTCAGCACTTTCTTGTAAGTTTTTTTAAACCCTCAGTTCAGAGGGGTTTCATTTCCCGCCTTGATTATACCAACAACTGCGTCGTAATTTTGTTAATATTTTAATTCTCAATGATGCTTATGGCAAGATTCAAATCTACATTGTATAGTATCATCACCAGCCTGGGAGTCGAAGAATACAAAGGGTTGATGTGAGATCGATGGCACACCGTAAAAGCCCGTAAATAAGTACGTACATATACTTACTTTCGAATTTGGTGGGCACACCCGTACTAACTTCCGGGCGTACTGACGTTCGGGCACGAACTAAAACTTTCGGACCTGACTTGTGTGTAGTAGAGAAGTCATTTTTCATGACGATGTACATGGTATGCGCTGCATGTGCCAACAGTACCAGTACTTATTTCGGGCAGCATGTTTATCGGGCTTGACTTGACTTGACAACAGAAGGAGTCAAACAGATGAAGGAGGTATTTTTTTCTGGCAGGCACTTATTTCCGGGTGTTAAAGGGGAAGTATACCCTAAAATCAAATTTTCACCAGTTGTAGTCTTCGGGGTGCTGAGTCGAATGGTCTTGGTCCGAGGAAGCTGAGACGCTCCCTTCCTACTTGAATCCCAATCGAACTCGCGCACTTCCACCGAAACTGGGTGACTGCGCCCTACTAGATGGGGATTTGTATGCAAAATGTCACTAAAAGCGCCATTTCGTTCTTATAAAAGCACGCATGACCGCGATTGGCCCATATGTTGTAGTCTTTTGGACGCTGAGTCGACTGGTTTTGGTCCGAAAAGGCTGCGATGCAGCGTTCCTCCTTTATTCCCAATCGAACATGGTTGAACAAGCGGTCACGTGCTCCTGCGTACACCAGTCACCTGGTCACCGTGCCTGCAGGGTACAACTTACTAGCCTGTTTGACCTTTTTTGGGTGCAGTCCTGTCACTCGAGTTGAACCTTGGTGTGAAAGTTGTCGCCTGCTGGCGCGGTGACCAGGTGATTTGGGCAACCAGGACCACGTGACCGCTTCTTCAACCATGTTCGATTGGGAATAAAGGAGGAACGCTGCATCGCAGCCTTTTCGGACCAAAACCAGTCGACTCAGCGTCCAAAAGACTACAACATATGAGCCAATCGCGGTCATCCGTGCTTTTATAAGAACGAAATGGCGCTTTTAGTGACATTTTGCATACAAATCCCCATCTAGTAGGGCGCAGTCACCCAGTTTCGGTGGAAGTGCGCGAGTTCGATTGGGATTCAAGTAGGAAGGGAGCGTCGCAGCTTCCTCGGACCAAGACCATTCGACTCAGCACCCCGAAGACTACAACTGGTGAAAATTTGATTTTAGGGTATACTTCCCCTTTAACGGTACTTTTAATAGTCACGCAAAAATGGTGAGTTGTTTCCTTCAAACGAAATATTCTATCTAAAATTGTTGGTATTAAAACCAGGGAGTCGTATAATTATAACAACCTGGTTAAAACGAACAACCAATCCATAATATCCTGGTGTGCATGTACTCACACAATTCAAGGTGTTGCATTATTTATGACCTTCAGACACACGGACAGTAACCAATTTGGCAAATCTGCAGTGGCAAACAAAGATGATGTTAGTCTTGCGCTTGAACAAGCCTAGCACATGATATTTAAGATATATAGATAGAGCTCTACTGAAAAATGCAAAGCTAAAGATAGCGAGAAATGAGAGAGGATCCAGCAATGGCGAAGGTACAGTGGATCGTGGTATCACGCACCCTCAAAGTCTCATTTGGCCTGGCCACGCGGCATCCGTAGACATCCCGCTATGAAAGACGTCGCTGTAAAAGATTAGTAAAAGCACCTGTACTATGAAAGACGTCGCTGTAAAAGATTAGTAAAAGCACCTGTACTGTGCGCGTGACAAGTACAGGCATGATCTGGTGTTAGCAAAATTTTAAAAAGGACCTAGGCATACACCCTTTGAGACAATGGCTAGAACAGACTGTACATGATCATCCTTATACATGCAGCGGCAAAACCTATCGACAATACCAGCAGAACTTCAAGGTGCGATTCTTTAAAAAAATAAAAAAAATATACTCGTGTACGAAATGAATCAGCAACAGTATTTTTAATACCGGTAGACCAATCAAGCTGTCGAGACTCGAGACCCTAAACAAAACCTAAAACTGAGAAATAATGACAGGGAGAAAGAAGCGCACCAACAACTACAGCTGTGAAACACAAGCAGCTACGGACGCATCTAGGCCAGAGTGTGTCAGAAAGTAAGTTGTGGCAGGACCTGTTCCATGACGTGATTATCACAGCTGAGTTGGGCCGCAATTCGATGTTGTATGCATCCACACCAGCTAAGCAACTGGGGTGGGTATTACGGAGGAAACAAGAGCTTGGACGCACCAGTGGAGCTGGGAAACAGGCGATGATACTCGGCCAGTGCAATGTACTCGGCCTTCACTAGCCGACTGTTGTACCAAGTGCCGTGTAGTGCTTCAATCAGCGACGTGGCTGCACCCGCACAGTCCAGTTTAGCGTAGAGCGCCCCCTCGTCCGTCCACCTATCCAGAAAGCAGTGCAGCACGCCACCGTGCTGAGTGAGCTTGTGAAGCACCGCCGATTCCAGCTCCTCAAACTCTGTAGCGGTCGGTCGTGGTTGCACGGTGTACAGGTTGCGTAGTTTTATGCAGCAAGATGGCTGCTTGGCGAGTGGCAGGACTTGCTGGCGAAATGCATCACCGGAGTAGTGCTCCAAGACATGACCGCCCCACTGCTTCTCTCGTCGTTCCAAAGTCTCTGCTGGTGAGCTTGGAGAGATCGGGCGGCGAGATGGTGAGTTGGCTGTTCCCGAGGGAGAACCGCCGTCCGTTTCAAGCAGGCCACTGTCGCTGACCTGCGCTGAGGTGTACGATGCAATGGGTATCCAACGCCACACGATAAAGTCCTCTCCGGCTATGCGGCGTGTTTCGATGCGCACCCGCGACTCGCGCTGGTTGATCCAGGTGACGGCTTTCTCCCAAACAGCGGACTGCGACTGGCGTTCAGCCGGTGGCAGCAGCGCATCACGTACATGACTGATTGGCACAGCGGAGCTGCTGGTGTCCGAGCTACCGCTAAGACTGGCTGCGTGCACCTGCTGCAAGTGCTTCAGGATCTTATCCACTAGTGAGAAGACTAGCTGGCGATCTGCCTCGCGTCGCTGCACGAACATACGGATAGCGATGAACAGCAGAACCAGCAGAAAGCTAAGGAATGCAAACAGCAGAGCCTGCGTGGCGGCACTGTGCATCGCTTTGCGAATGCGACACGTCAGCGGCTTCATGGGGTTCGTCGAGACCAGGTGGATTCGGTTCAGATTCTCAACAGTGACGTTGTTTTCGACGATGACAAAGTTCGACGTGAGCAACGTGACCTTCCAGTGCGGATTGCCTACGAACAGTAGCTCAGCATCCAGCAAGGCAAGTTTAGCCTCGATGTTGTTCAAGTGGAATGCCTTTGCCACCTCTAGTACCGTGGCCGGCTTCAAGTCCCGGTTCTGGCCCTCGGTGCAGTCAGCTACACCGGCTTGCTTATCAGCTATCTCAGCCAGGTGATTCGCAAGCTTCAGAGCGGTGTCAATGCGCTTGATCGTGTTCCCGGTGCAGAATTGATCTCGCGCACACCAGATGAAGTTGTCCTGACTGTCGGCTGCACGCCTTCTCATGTTGTAGCTGACAGCGTTCAGCAGTAAGACCACAGCCACTGCCAGCAATGCACCTACTACGGCGTGCAGCCCATACTGGAGCAAGAACGGTGATCGCCGGCTCTTCAGGTGTGCTTTCTCAACGTCGGCCAGCACTCTGGCACCAGCTTGCTGCACTTTAGACACTGCTGCCTTGCGTTGCTGGATTTCGGCTTCGCGACGTGAAGCCGAGCTGCCTTCCTCATCAGAGGAGTCTGAGACGTCTGATGAGATACTGGCATCTCCCTCCTGTCGAGATAATCTCTCGTCCTCCTCGTCAGGAAACAGCAAGCCAACACGAACTGGATGCTGAATTCGAGGTGGCGGTTTGGGTCGCTGAGGCTTCGCTCTGCCTCCCCTCTCGGCTTCAGACAATTTCCGTAACCAGTACGCACGGGAGACGTCTGTCAGAGGCCCCGCGTCGAATCCACAGGCCTCAAGCCGCCGTCGAAGCTCCGTATCGGTCATTTTTCTGTCCATCTCGTCTCTTCTCAAGTCGACTTCGTCAATACTTCTCTCTTGAAATTTTGAACCAAGACCAGTGATTATAGTTTGAAGTGTTGATTTTTTGAAAAAGCTCATAAAAATGCCTTTGCAGTCATGGCAACATGCAGACTTCTCACTCGACTCTTGCCTTGCCCTTCGCTGTGCATGTGCGCAAGCTGCACTGCCACTAGTCAGTGACTGACCGGTTTTGTAGCTGCTTCCGCAAAGCAACCACGTCCACTTCTTGGTGATCTCGGATTCGGCAAGGAGGACTTGACTTGGCAGGGAAGTGTCACCATTGCCATTGGTCACTGTCAGTAACTACTGGTATCAATCATGTTGGAGCTACTGCTGCTACATCATGCAGTAGGTTAGTTGGACAGTTGTGCACAGCAAGCTGCTAGCGTCAGAGCTCCTCCATCTACGACAGTTATTTCAATGAAAGACTGAGTGAATGACGAGCGTTGGAAAGGAGGGATATCGCGCCACGGCCAACGGGAATGAACGGCGAAAGTTCGAACGTCAACCTGGCTAGAACTGCATGCTCGGCCGACTAGGACTTGGCATGGAAGACTAGCGATGCTGTGGCTGGGCGGAGAAAGACTGAGACTGAGAGTGTTTCAATGACAACCAGTCGGAGCTCGGAGTCCGACGCCTAATTACCGTGACTCACTCAATCGGCTAGGCGGCGGAATGGGTTGTGGAAGTGGACTGGGTTTGGTGTGGGGCACTGCTGATGAAGGAGACGAACGTACCAACGACGGCCAAGCAGGATTGCTAGACCGGGATAGCGGCGCGGGTACGTTCTGGGAGCGTAGCGGACTGAGACGTGTCCTAGCCGCCGGACAAGCACAACGCCACGACCTTCCGCTGGCCACGTACCTGCGTAAGAACGCTGAACGTGGTGACAAAACTGCACAGAGAGCTAGATTCAATACATGTATGCCGGATGCCTTGAAAGCTTTGGGAGATGTAGCCGAAGACGAAAGACCAGTAAGTCGAATGTACTTATACAGTAACGAGTTTCTTCAGACTTTTCCTGTCTGCATCCTTTTTCCCTCAAACCAATGGCATAACAATACAGTAGGCAGTGCTAGTGGCGTGTATATTCACAGGTGTAGGGGTATATTGTGCGTGAATCTTGATGTTATTGTGTGCGTCGTACTCGAGTGAGTCAGCTTTGCACGCTGCACCAGTGCACATCCCAGTACGGTTCGCAGGTCTAGGGCTGCACAGCGCCCGGCGTGTACTTGACTCACTCGATAGGATTTTATCCAGCAACACAGCACATGTGTATTGTATTGTATTGTGCAGGATGATATGCAGGTGCTGAAGCAGCTCTTCAAGCAACTGGACCCAGCGGTCATGCACCGGTCATGTCAGGCACAGGGTCAAATCCTGCTTGCCATGCGTCACCGTGGCTACAATCACTACGGTGATGAGGGTGGCGCAAGTGGTGATGAGGACGGCGCGGGCGTCGGCCAATTGCTGATCCACCTAATCAGAGCACGAGATCTTATTGCTATGGATCTGAGGAGCAACTCTTCTGGTAAGCCATGCCGGCATGTTATAGTAAGAGCCAGATAGACCTAGCAGATAAGAATAACGGACATAACACTCAGTGGAGGTTATGCCTGCCAACATTCATTCTCAGGGCCGGGTACCCGAAGCAATTTTGCCCTCCGCAAAAATTACCTGTTGGGTGGAATTGATCAGGGCTGTCATAGACACATGTCATGCTAATTGTCAAGATCACTCTACATGTCTAGCTTAGGTCAGGGCTTGGGCCATAGCACTCTACACATCTTGCTTAACCCTTTGGAGTCCGTAACTTTTTTGCTTCCGCAGAATTTGTGGCAGTCACGAAAATGCGCACTCCATTTCCAACATAACTTTTGTTCTACTTCACCGATTTTGAAGATCCTGGGCTCGTTGAAAAGCTCTTGATGAGAGAAATACAATGCGCCAAAACTCGCCAAGAGCACTATTCATTGTCCGCCACAACGCGCCCCAAACGCGAGTCCAGCTCCAGATCTGAGACGAAATCGGTCTCCTGTAGCCATTTCACTGAATCTAGCTCGGAACTGTTCAAATTTTTTCGAGTAGAAGCTTACCTGGCCGTGACTTCCCGCCGCGCCGGTCCTGGCACGTGCCGCCTGTCATGAAGCTGGGAAAATCCCTTTTTTTCACGCGCTGCTGACTCGCAGCACGCAGCGCAGAAAATTCGAAATGTTTGATCGCTCGCCGCTCACTCAAACTTCATCGGAGAGACTTCGGGTCTGTTCGAGGCGATAGATGAGTTTTCTCTACCATCTAGACCCTTCGACTGTTGAATTTGGTCAAGATTTGGCCGAGAACCGAAAGTTTGACTGCGCCCACATGCATACAAAATGTCCATGGTTCGAAATCGAACCATGGACTCCACTGAAAGGGTTAAGTCAGGGCTTGGCTCAGTGCGATAGCACTGGAATTGGAGGTGGCGCGGCCAAATGGGATACTTGAACGGAAACGAACATGTTTGACATGAATTGGTTGGGTCAACACCATAATTATAATTATATCCTACGCATGCTGGCCTTCTAGACAGGAACCTGTTATCCATGCCCGCCGGAACCAGTCCAGTTGGTCAGGTCATCGTTGGACCTAGTGTTGGCCACCACAGCACATGTTTACTGCTGAGGAGGTCACGCGTACCCGCTACATCAGTGACATCATACACAAACTGTATGAAAGGCTATGGTACTATGGCCGGACCCATCAACAACTGCTTCCGCCGGTGCTGGTATCAATCTGCTGAGCACGGGGATACAAAGTACATTCAACAAGACCCTGAACATGACCATGTAATTGCTCCCATGTCGTTCCTTGATTGCATGCAGACCCCTACATTACACTGGAGCTGCTACCTCGCACGGCAACGGCGTCCAAGGTCGTGCGCTCCAAGGTGGTGCACGAGCGACTGAGCCCAGTGTTCGACGAGTACCTCTCCCTGCCCATCGCCCTGGACCAGGTGCGCAGTGCGTACGTGTGGCTGCGAGTGTGGGATCACGATGTGCTGAGTGAGGACGACCCGATGGGTCAGGTCATGATACCGCTGCGGGACCTGGAAAGCGAGCTGGTGTGCGAGACACCGCAGCCTAAGTGGTACGACTTGATACCAGAGGTAAGGATATCACAATGTCTGCCACGGTGGCATCTAGCACTTGTCTTATGGATACGTTGTAGAAATGGTTCGGTATCATAAATCAAGAGTTGTGAAGACAAATAATGTGAATGGTATACTATGGTGAATGCAATGAACTACTTCAGTGTACCTATTCCACTGGGTTGCAATTAATTATACTGGCATTGTTTTAAACACGATTCGGCAAATATTATGGGCACAGGCCATGAAACTGGTGCACTGTGGAACATCATTCTATGACACATTGTTGCATGAACATGTTCTGGTGAACATTCAGATTACAATAATTATAAGATGGCTAGTCAATATCCTGTGGATGATACACCGACAGCTCAATGCAATTTGGTAAATCTCTCTGAGAGCTGCACTGAGTATACGCGTGTGAATCAATCTCGTCCTGCATGCATTCATGGATGTGTCTCCCCAGATGGACATACCCATAACGGGCAGCCTGGAGGTGACGTTGGACTGGCAACCTCCGCTGCAGCTGGGTTGTGTTGTACACAGCGCAGAGGGTCTAATGCTCTGTCGCAGTCTATCTCCAGACAGCAGCAGCAGCGGTGGTGACTATGGACATCTTCACACCACATTACTCTGCTATTTAAGCGGCGAGGAAAACACCGAGGTCTCCGAAGTAAGGAGCTAGGACATCTGCTGTATACGGTTTTTGGTTGAACTTACTCACCATCACACATGCACACACACACACACACACACACACACACACACACACACACACACACACACACACACACACACACACACACACACACACACCTGTCCTGTTGTCCTGTTGAGCCACTGCCATGAAGGTTACGTGGGCCCCGGAGGGGCAGCTGAGAGAGAGGAGGAGCACACAGCCCTGTGACGATCCAGGTGATGCGGTAAGCGAAATCGGCGGGAGCAGGCGCAAACACACGTGAAACCCTGACGGTCCTGAACGGTCGGACAACTACAAGTCCGTGAGCAGCGATGACGGGCGCGGCCACGTGTAGACGCAAAGCAGCGGTCACAAGCCTGGCAGTGAGCGACGCAGCACAGCGGAGAAGCAGGCAGGGGCGCACCGACTGCTGACTGGGGGTAGGTACACTTGTGCGGCCTTGCCAGACCTCCACGGGACTTCAGCCAACGGCCACACTCTCCACACTGGCATGCACCCTTCTGTTCCGCAACCGGCTTCGCACGCTCAGCCTTACACTTGTGGCGTGCGCGATCACTGGGGCGTGCAAACTGTCGGTCGCAGGTGTAGCAGGTGACGGGAGGGGGATGCTGGGCATCTACCGGTGCTGAGTACGCCGAGCGCCAGGTGGGACGCGACTCGCATTCAGCTCGCCATTCCCCCTCGAGGCCGCGAGAACGAAGGTCAGACATGATACAATCCTTCCAGCGTCGACGAGGGCCATGAGCTGGGCGACGCGACGGAAGCGTGCCAAAGAGAACTTGCTTCGGCAGCCGGTGGTCCTCCATCCGAGCAACATGCCCGAGCCATTCAAGGCGGCGGTGCTCCACCTTCATGCGGATGGTGTCGGGATCACCCCACCTCACACGTAGTTGGTGATTGGTGATGTGGTCATCCCAGCATTCTTGGCGAGACACACCCATGATCGAGCGGATGCATCGGTGGTGGAAGACAGAGAGCCGCTGCAAATCCCGTTGAAGAGGCATCCACACACACACACACACACACACACACACACACACACACACACACACACACACACATACACACACACACACACACACACACACACACACGGTCGGATTTCATTGAGCTGCACCGTGGCTGCATATAGTATAGTCCGAAATCCCCTAGTTTCACATGAGACTTCGTTGCAACGTTTACCTCAGACTTGCACAGCTACATGCCACCTTCTTGGTTATGTGATACACATGTGTGTATGTGTGTGTACTATGTATATGTGTATGTATGTGTGCATGTGTATGCATGCAGGCCCGCCAGAACTGGTCTGGTTGGTCAGGTTATTACCAGACCCACGTTTCGGTCACCAACACATGTTTCCTACTGTGGAGGGTATGTGTACCCGCCATGTCATACACAAAGTATGAACGGCCATGGTACTACCGGACCAATCAAAAACTGCTTCCGGCGGTCCTCATATGTACATGTAACGTTATAATAGACACCCTTAGCAAACAACGGTAACGCTTACATGTACATACCAGGACCGCCGGAAGCAGTTTTTTGGCCAAATATTGCATAGTCCGTACGCAGTTCACCTTGTATCGCGTATGTGGTGACATAAATGGTTGTACCGCGCAAACTAAAAGCTATTCTCGTGGCAACAGCGTACTAAAAATAGCGTGCATCTTGCTAAAGGTCGAGCCCAAATCACGGTATTTTCCCCCGTACGGTAATACCGTTACAACATAACGTTGTTTGCTAAGGGTGTCTAATGTATGTGTGTATGTGTGTTTTGCTGCTCTGAGCAGGTTGTATCTGGGACCACGACAATGGACTACGATACCCAGTTCTCATTCAACATGCGCGGCAAAGATGTCCAATCATTGTGAGTACCCTATCTGCACCACTGGAGGATGGTCAACACATTGCATATGCAAGTACATAATTGTACTCCGAGAGCTATTCTAGAAAGTTGATTGTTTGCATAGTTGGAGCTGGCACTTTTCCTCCTGACATCTGATATGACTAAATCATGACTACTGCAGTTGTGAGTCAGCCAAGTGCCGAATTTGGTAGGAAACTTGCCAGCTCACCTTGCAAGTAACTTTCTTACTGATATCCTGAGGTTGCTGCCACTGTTCTAGCCAGGGAGTCGTAAAATACGTATTTTACGACTCCCTGGTTCTTGCTACCACATTGAAGTTTTCGAAGTATTTTTGAGGTATTGCTTTGAAGTAAAAAGACGAGACATATACAACCTCAGCCCCCTAATGCGTATTAGCTGTGTGTTTCTGATAGACCGTCTACAGTTGATTTGGACCTTGTCTTGATCTGTTAACGTTACTGCTGCGGCTTTGGCCGTGTTCAGGGCTCTACACTTGAGGATCATGACGTTACTGGAAGATTGCCGGAGTCCTGATGATGATAGCACGGATGCTCGGCATGCCTCCCCCTACAGCACCAGACATGTGCCCGATATTGAAGATGTGACGTACTCTGGCATACTGGCCGGAGAGTGCCACATTGACCTGGAGCGCGTGCAGGAGTTGCACGGACAAACGATTACAATTCCCCTCACAGATCGGGTTAGTAGGGTGTTGTATAATAATGTATTGTTTTCTTGTGTGATATGATAGCATTTGAGCATGCATGATGTAGTCGACAGTCCTTTTGTCAGCCCTTTTTTCGTCCCTTGTTGACCAGTTACTGTTTCCGTCATGTCCTGGTTGAATTAATAACAATAATGCAATACCACACGATGATTCCTGTGTCGGCGTGTATGAAGCCTGTTGTTGTAGCAAAGATGAATGTGATGCCATTTGGCACAGATGCCACCTTACCAGAACTCAGTGGTTGGGTCCGCAGATACCCCCTTTACCAGAGCACAGCCATTGTGGTCAGGTCCATCCTTGTGTGATAGTACCCAACCAAATGATGAGTGATTTCTGTTTTTCTCTGGCCTTTAAATATGTTGTTAACAGAGAGGTGAGGGTGAATCAAACACAGGGACCAAGGTCTCCGCTCGTTCTCAAGAGCTACAGCAGGCTCTGCAAGCACACGCACTGTATGGATATCCACACCTGCTCTTCAGCGGGGCAGCCTCTTCATCTTCCACTAAGACTAAGGTACTTGGGGAACGTGGGGTGAGGGGACCAGGATCAGAGACACTTGCTTATACAGTAAAACCTGTTAAGAGCAAGGGATGTCTTTTCCGGTCAAATGACCCTGGATAAGGAGAACACCTGGTAACGGAGACCACATTGTGAAGGTCCCTTGAGCGGGCGTCTTAGAAAGGTTGCACTGTGTATGTTATGTGTATATTCGGCAATGTGCACTCTCAGTCTGTGAATCTTGCTCTGTATAGAGATACATGTACTTGTACCTGTTCAAACATCCGAGAATTCTCAACTCCCTATGGTGAACTCTTGGGTTTTTGTCAGAGTCAGAGAATTCTCCACAGAGATCTAGGATATGACTTCATTATTTCCACCAAAATTGGTAAAAGAGTAGAGAAATTTCCACTACAACACACCCACAGGGTGCCCGGTAGACTGAGGTGCCCACTCGGATAAGAGAGAAATGAGTGTAGATGTGCTTGAGCTGCCACGGCCAAGCAAGACTCGCTCATCTCCGGTTACTTATCCAGTCATGAATCGTACAAGGTCGGTGCCCAGCACGTGCTCTCACACTGCTCTGTGGCAAAATGCGCGTGCTCTGTAAAGAGGTGACGTCAAAAAAATTCCGTCGTGGGCCGGGGTACCTGCAGCTTGTGCAGGAGAGATGCGAAGTTGCACACTCTTGTTTATCTACTCTTGCTGGTACCATGCATAGGTGGATTGCTGACACTTACTATGTGAAATGCAACCTCTAGTCGGCTAAACAAATAGTTATGCACCTTGGCTTGCATGTGCCGGTAGGGTACATACCTCAACTGATGTGCCATCGGCTTCCATGCAGTTGGTGCACACAGAGCATGTTCCTACATCATGTGGATAGCATGATGCATCTCTGACATCACAATGTGATCAGTGATGCATCTCTGACATCACAATGTGATCAGTGATGCATCTCTGACATCACAATGTGATCAGTGATGCAGCGTGATCGATCAAACACATGCGTGTGTGACTATGCTGTGTGTGTGGGTGTATGCGTGTGTGGGTGTGCCGCACTGCGGTGGCGCATGCACACACACCATACCACTGCAGGTTGTGCAGCTGCGCTGCTCGTCCACCAAGAGAACAGCCGAGATGAGCCTGCGCAATGGTGTGCCGCTGCTCCGGCGCTGATGAAGGCTTCCCAGCACTGGTTGGCCTCATCCTGCCTACTAGTGCTTCAACCATTCTCATGCACACAGTATTCGAATAGTACTACTGTGCAAGCATGTCACGTTACATGTACTAACAGATGGCGTAATATTCCACCATTCGTTTCTAGTGACCCCGAGAGCTGCACCTATTCCGTGTCTGATGGTCGGAAAGTGACAGCACCAGACTTGATCTTTAATTAAATCCCATGCATGAACTGTAGAGAGCATCAACCTACCACATGCGCCAAGGCATTGCCATAATACAAAACAAATGAGCTAGAGTCAAGTTGATTAGTTCTGCTTCCCAGCCACTGAGAGCCTTATGGATCTCCAATACGGTTCTTTGATGGTTCTACACTGTAAGGTTCTTCCTTTTTTGTCGTCTGAATGATGTAAAGCTTTATAAAGATCTTGAACTTCCCTTGATAAACACAATCATCAATACCTTGAATGATCAGCACATAGTAAAAACCAGAGTAAATGAGGTAACGTTGAAGGTAAAGCGTGCTATTCTCTGTTTTCACTTTCCGTACGCGGTGCATTGATTTGAGATTTGAAACATATTATTATCATCTACTGAGTGTGTGCACCCAGCTATGTGCGTATCAGTCCGTGAGTCTGTAATAAGTCGGTTAAGTCAATTCTACTTCAGTACTTGTGAATGCACACACAATGCTAGCATACTGGTCAGAGTCCATAGCTCCCTCTTTGATGGGTCATTGGCTTCTTGTAGAGAAACCTAGGTGCAGCGTAACAAGTGCTACAAGTTCCGCACAGGAGTTGGCCATGTTTCAAGCAGCAGATGCAGGTAATCCATCTCTTAACTTCAATATACGCAAGCGAGGGAAAATCACTTTAGTGAAGAAGAAGCAAGCATAGGATAAATTGTTCAGGCCGATGACGCTGCAATCATCACTGATTGCGGTGCATAGCTTGCACACCAGCTGGCAATAAGCAGTGACATCGGCACAGTGCATGAACCAGGGGGCTATGTCATCAGCGTCGAGTCATAGTAGTCTGATCCGGCCGTACTTTCCTTCCATGTCCCCGGTCTCTGCTGGCCGTGCCCGGTGGCATGCTTGGTATTGCTAGCCGACGGTGGAGCATTCGGCCGCTGGTAGTCAGTATGTTCCGCTTGCTGCTGACTATGCAATACCGGTTGGTAATGATCACGTTTTGGCTGACCAGCATGATGGCCAGACAGGGGCTGATAGTCACTAGCGGTTGTTCTCTGCACAGGCTGGTACCCTCCTCCGCGTTGTTGTTGCTTGGAGGTGACTGGTGGTACCTGCGATGGTATCGGTGGCTGGTAGTCACTCTCCGACACACCAGTGCTAGAATTTATCCGTCCATAGCCTGTGTCCTGCACGGCATAGACACCACCAGCTGACAGCTGTTGATACTCTTGCTCTCGCTGTTGGCTGACACTCAATGGTTGATATACGTCACCCGAGGCACCATTTCTCTTAGCCGCAGAATTCGCTTTTAGTGAAAGCGGCTGGTAGTCTTGATTCAATCGTGTGCTGCTATCAATACGCCGATAGTCATCACCATCGTGTGTATAATCCTCAGCGACCTGATTTCCATCGGACACAGCATACTGGTTGGTAGCGCCATGGTCCTGGCTGTGTCCTTCGTAGGTGTACGTCCGCGTGTCGCTAGGACTCGGTCTCGCCAAATCCCCTTCCATTCCAAACGCTTTGTTGTTAACGACTACACTGGGATTGGTGTCTGTGTGGATGTCCAGCGACTTTGATCTGTGCCTGGTAATAGTAACCATACAAACATTCAAACAAACAGTCAACCCCATGAATAACAACAGCTCGGCAATAACAACAACTCGCGACCAACAACACTGTCTTTAGACCGAGTAACCAATTCACCACATACTTTCCATACTTTCCATACTTTCCATACTTTCCATACTTTCCATACTTTCCACCATGCGGATATCGACAACTTGTGATTACTCAAGGAACAACACTTTTCCGGCATGGCCGATCGAGGGCAGTTACTAGTATTTGCAAGGTTGACTGCACTTCTCTTGTGATCAGTGTTTGCACAATCAAGCCGGTTTGCCGGAGCTTTCTACACGTAGCATAGGAATTGCTTGCAAGTATTGGTACCCAGCAGAGAACGGTGTGTTCACCGGAAGCATCCGTATTAATCAGGTTTTTACTTTAACATGGTGCGACAGCATACTAGCTTCATTTGCGTGAGATAATTGCATCTTAAACTCATACCCCAACCTGGCTAATCGTGTGTTGCTTGCCTCATCTCTTGTTACAGTAACTATAGCTGTTGAAGACAACGATTCATGCTTCACGCAATCATGTACCTGATAGCACTACACTATAAAAGGCACACACTAATGAGTAATGGTAAACAAACACAACGACTGTCATTATGACATCATACTGGACAAACACTATGTCATTCTGACAGCATACTGAACAGTCAGTATGACATCATACTGGACATGCACTATGCCACTATGACATCATGCATAACAGTGGCAAACTGAACCCACTGCCTTTCTGAAGCAGTTCACAGCCCCTGTAGTGCTCAGTGCCACTGCTATGCAGCTCTTACCTGCACTTCAGACGAACAAGCAGAATGATGATAATCAGCATCAGGAGGCAACCAGCTGCTATACTTGGTACCACGATGGCAAGATTGAGAGAGGAAGAAGCAACACCTGAACATGAGAAGACGAGGAAGCATGGCATAGGTATGATGGCACCCTGCACGTCCGATCATCTACCTAACCAACTAGTCAGTTCAAGTAGGCCCGGGGCCGTCCATTGTTCTCACCATTTTATCACGACTGGATAAAACAACGGTGAGGGTGGGGTACAGTGACCTGCACCATCCGGTACATACTTTATCGAGTCCTACATGGATACCCAATCTGCGGACAGAACTGTTTCGTCCTTTGTGGACTCATCAGCGCAGCAGAGAGGAAATGAGGCCGAACCTGATAGGAATGAAACATAAATTTTCCAAAGCTAGATTTAGACCAGGCCAGAGTGTACCTTGCCAGAGTGCTCAAACTGACAAGTTACGGATATTGAAACGACTTCCCTATGTGCATGGTTTTGAAGAGGAGGAGGAAGGGCTTGGCGGTCTCCGCACTACTCTACATTTGTTTGGTTGCGTCAAATGGCGACATTTTCAGACGGCCCCATGGTGCTACTGGCACTACTAGTACTACTGGTACTCCATCATGATATATACTGGCCAGCTAGCCAGGATAAATGGTGAGTTTGATGTCCTAAGCAGGGCCATGTACACACACACACACACACACACACACACACACACACACACACACACACACACACACACACACAGTGACACACACACACACACACACACACACACACGCACACACACACAATATGCTGTTGCAATGCCCCACAGGCAATTATGAACTTATGATAAAGTCTTCATCTTCACTGACTCTTGGTATAATACCAACCCCGAATTGTAGCTGTGTGCACTACATGCATATCCCAGTAAATACTAAACACGGTAGAGGCATTGTACCTTCACTACTGGTCACTGTGGTGCTGGCTTCTGACAGTGAAGAGGTGCTGGAGCGTGCTGTTGCCGTTGTCTGCTGTGCCATGCTCTGCTCTTGACTTGACACTGGTTGTTGTGAGGGAGTGACTGTGCCCACTTGCACCGTGGGAAGAGTGGTAGGTTGTGCTTGCGAAGTGATGGGTGCACTTGTTGTAGCTGGCACAACCAGGGTTGAGCTTTCAGGGGAAGATAATGCCAGTGATGATGCTTGCTGAGTACCCGTCGTCCCCTGCTGGACTGTGCCTAGAGTGCTGGATTGGGCCGGTGTTTCGGTGGTGGCACTGGCTGGGACTGACTGCGATGACGTTACCTGCCGTGTGTCCGCCGTAGTGGCAACATGAGCGGTGGGTGGCAGTGTGGTAGACCGAGTGGACTGAGTCGCTGACTCGATGCTAGTTACACTGGCCGGCGACGGCAATGATGATGATGATGATGACGGTGTTTGTTGTGTGTTGGTTGCCATAGTAACAGTCAGCTGATTTACAGTTCCGCTAGCTTTGGTCGTGGATTGCATAGTGTTGGTTGGTTGGGTCTGTGTGTTAGTGGTCATACCAGTAGACAGCGCGGCTGTAGCTGTTCCAACATCCGTAGTGTTTGCTGAAGTGATAGGTAAACTGGTCTTGGATGTCACTGGAGGCACTGCGGCAGGGGTACCGGTAGCTGAAGATGTCCCCGCTAGCGTTGTCACTGTTCCTTGAGCCGTTCCAGGTGTTGTGATGAGCGACGATTGAGTGGTGAGCTGCTGTCCAGTACCATTGGGTTCCTTTTCGGTAGTGCTGGCTGGCGGTGTGGAAACGTTTGTCTGTGCAGCACTAAGCGCAGTTTGGCTGACTGGTTGAGTCCCGGGTGTTGGCTGGGGTGTGCTGCTAGGAGCTTGCGGCGTTGCTTGTGTTCCACTGAGCGGGGTTTGAGAGATTGGTTGTGCTGCAGTGAGTGTGGTTTGAGGTGCTGAAGGAGTTGTGATAGGTAGGGTCTGAGCGATTGGCGTTGTTGCAGGGAGAGAAGTTTGAGACGTTGGTTGTTGTGTACTTGTACTTACACTGGTAGATTGAGATGCACTTTCAGATGTACTCGACGGTCCAGTGGTGGCAGATGAAGTAGTGGCTTGGGCAGTGGGCTGGACTGAGCTTGGCACTAACTGCGATGACATTGAAGTAGCGGTAGCAGGATTCGTATGTGGTGACGCCATTTCAGTTGCGGTGCTTACTGTTGGACTGGTCGCATGAGAAACAGCACCTATAGAGGGCACGAACATCGTGAAACCCAAAGCACACATCACCGGCTGCATATCGTGAAACCCAAAGCACACATCACCGGCTGCATATCGTGAAACCCAAAGCACACATCACCGGCTGCATATCGTGAAACCCAAAGCACACATCACCGGCTGCATATCGTGAAACCCAAAGCACACATCACCGGCTGCCTGAACATGAAGACAGCAACACGGCAAAGGTACAGCCAAGTCTCTCTCTCTCTCTCTCTCTCTCTCTCTCTCTCTCTCCTCTCTCTCTCTCTCTCTCTCTCTCTCTCTCTCTTTCTCTCTCTCTTTCTCTTTCTCTTTCTCTCTCTCTCTCTCTCTCTCTCTCTCTCTCTCTCTCTCTCTCTCTCTCTCTCTCTCTCTCTTTTATTGTTTCTCTTTTTCTCTCTATTTAATTTGAACTAGCGTACGCGCTTCACTGCATTGCTTTGTACTTCATTCCAGACTGATAGCATGTGATTTCTTGCTCCATGACCACGAAATGGCGCCTGGCCCGCTTTCGCCATTTTTGCTTGCCTGTTGTGCCCTTCCGGACAATAGATCTTGCTTCAGCAACTTCAGCAGCACTTCCCCACCATCTGCATCCCTCGCCATCTTTCACACAGTTATACACCACTACCCCGGCAATAACGGTCTCTCGGCCATTTCCCGGGGCCAGGCCCATCTTCAGGAAATTATTCCTGAAGATGGGCCTGGCCTGAAAATTTGGATTCTATTTAATTAATTATTTTTGGAAGAATTTGTAGCCGAGAGACCGTTTTTGGGTAGTGGTGTATAACTGTGTGTTGGCTACAGTGGAGTGTGCACATCCTTAGGAAGGCATCCATCCCTTTCAACCTCATTAAAACACTGTCATTATTAATCGGGACCACTCTCACAACTGGTGTATCTTGCCAGTTGCTGCGGCTCTGCCTTGAACTACTTTGAAGTGTATTATTGCATCCTTTTAGCATTGCAGCTCTACTTTGAGCTAACAGCAGATCCATTTTGAGCTTACAGCCGCTCTACTTCGACTCTGAGCTACCAGCTTTGAGCTTCACATTTTTGAAACCAGCACTCCTCAATCGAAAGATGCCTCGGTTGTTGATTTGCTTGTGTGAGGGAAGGGGCTACTAGTGGCCAGATTTTAACACCAGTTGCCTGGCAATTCGCTTTGGCATGAACAGATTCCAATCAGACCCCTGTCTCTTTCCAAGGTGAAAAGCTCTGCAAATGTAGCACTATTCTGGCAGTTTGCCATACATTTCTTTGATGACACTACATGTACTTACCCAGTTGGTACTGGCAGATGTACGGCCTCAGCGGACTGCATGTGCCTGTCACCCAGCCGTTATTAAACGCCGATCTTGTCGTACACGTACGCATGTGGACGCAATTTTTCGAGGACTGATCGTCTCCACACGCCCAAGGCAGGTAGCTGGTTGGCGCGCCCGACAACCACTGGAATTTGAAGTTAACACGCCGCAGGCCAATCCACCATTCGCATTGTCCAGGAGGAAGACCCACGGGTGGACTGGTCATAATGTGATTCTGAAGAACCGTCAGAATTGACACGTCATAAATCTCCACCAGTGACGCATTCTGCCCGTGCGCCGAGCACTCTGTCTTCGCACCGCCCCAGTTACGGGCCACGCTGGCGTTGAACAGATAGCAGATCTGCTTGTACTCAAACCACTCCGCCCTGCAGCCTCCCTGCTGAAGTTGTGGTGGCCAGAAAGATGCATCTACGGAAATGTCAACATTAGAGCAGGCATCAAGAACACATTGTATTCACCATAAGGCAAGCACGCATTAGAAGACCCTGTGTTTAGTCACCATACAGTAAGCATGGTCTCTGCAGAACATAGGGCCCACATATCCAGGCAGGAATGTTCCTATTTTGCTGTCGGGAAACAGGCTGAGCTTTTGGGGTTCAGCCGGTGCTAACTCCAAATCGATGGTGTTTCTTAAAGCTATGTGCTTTCACAGTCACTATTATTGTGCAAAGCTGGACATTAGTCTACGGCGCTACCTTGCTCTGAAGCTTATCTACTTACTGCAATGAGGAAAATATGTGAAAGAAGTTTGAAGAAAAGCTTTTCAGTCAGTGTCATTCCTATTCGTCAGTCTCGCCTTTCTTTGGCAATGCGTTCTGCAAAGAATGAGCTTACTACAGAGAACATGGCATAGCTGGTCAGAGTGGCCTACTTCGAAGTAGTAGGTGTGTGATAGTGTGTGATAGCGTAACATAGTGTGCAATCATGCACTGCTCTGCAGATGAACTGGAATGCTATGGTCGTCGGTGTAGCTGCAAAGTTTTTCCTGAAGTAAATTGTAGAAAAGAAAAAGGACCAAGGAACTACAAGCTACGCTATAATGTCCACTAACACCACCAGTTACTAAACAATCAGCTCATGCGATAACATTGCACGACATTGACCGACGGTACTGACGTTCTACAACTAACTGGCTAACAGCTCCAGCACATCTTGGATGCGCACTCCAACAGCCTTCCAACTTGGAAGGTTCTAAGCTATAGAAATTAATCCTTGGCTCTCCATCCGAGTCCATTCCTGAAGTAAATTGTCTAATGGTTATCTGCAGCGTTTGGTGTATTTCCTGGTGCACCTTTTTCCAGGCTCTCGCCATCAACTACTGAAGTACACTACAATACACACAGTACTACACTATCGTCGTTACTGTGCACTTCCTACTTAGAATACACCGTTGAAGGGTGTACAACAACACATAGTGCTGTATTAGGACAGCAGACTCAGCGGAGGGCGTTCAGGTTGGTAGCACTCTCTGCAGCTCGGGGATCAACGGATTTGTAGTACAGTCGAATGTCACTTATCCGGTCGCCAGTTATCCGACAAGCCCGGGAGTGGTATTTTTATGACTCTCAACAGTAAAATTCTATTTTTTTTGTATAATTATTTTTCGGTGTAATATGCATTGACTTGAAGTAGATGTGGTCTAGTATTCTAACATGTATGTGTACATGGAGCAATTCATGAATATGCATGAGTATATTTGGGGTTTGTGTACATAAATCAGTGAAATCCAGCCATATATGCACATAAAAAATGATATCAGTTATCCAACATGCCTGATTCCCGAAGTGGTCGGATAAGTGACATTCGACTGTACTGTATTGCTAGTGATTACTGTGTACTCACTAGCACCACCACAATAAACCGTTGAAGGGTGCTCTCACCTTGGCGCGGCGGTCTCATCTCACAGATGTAGCTGCCAGTCCGGCTGCTACTGTCACTAGTCAGTACCTGAAACCAACTGTCAGCAATTGATTTATCGTCGACAGCCACTTGCCCCAGGGCGGTGTTGACAATGTCATTTTTGTTTGAGTCAGAACACTGCCATGACCGGAAGACGGCTGCTGAGCCATCGCGCCACCTGAAGTTGCCACCAGACTCGTACAAGCCCATCCAATAGAACGTGACATGAAAGCTGTCGGCCTTAATGAGCGGTGTCAGGATCTGCTGCTCGGCAAAGTCGTTGATGGAAATGAGCTCCGCTCCAGTGGTGAAGCATTGAGCTGCCGCATCATCGTGGGTGAGTGCAGGCACTCCTGCTGGCCGTGTGCGATAACAGTGACTGTTGTATTTGGTCCATCCAGTGCTGCACGAAAGATCTGCACCAAGCAAAGCCATACAGTGCACAAGAATTCTCAAATGATGCACGTGGACATGAAATATTCAGGCAAAGCCAAAATGGCACTTCTCTCCTTTTTCTCTCTATCCATCCATCGATCAATGCATCTACATATTGTCGATCCATCCATCCATCCATCCGCAAATTCACACAGAGGTGGGCATCATTACTGGATCAATGCTCGGTGCACAAATTATAGACATGCCACCCCCTCCCCTCTCCTCTTGTGTAGTACTGTACTATTACAGCAGCTACAGCGATCACCGCAGCTACAGCGATCACCGCAGCTACAGCGATCACCGCAGCTACAGCGATCACCGCAGCTACAGCGATCACCGCAGCTACAGCGATCACCGCAGCTACAGCGATCACCGCAGCTACAGCGATCACCGCAGCTACAGCGATCACCGCAGCTACAGCGATCACCGCAGCTACAGCGATCACCGCAGCTACAGCGATCACCGCAGCTACAGCGATCACCGCAGCTACAGCGATCACCGCAGCTACAGCGATCACCGCAGCTACAGCGATCACCGCAGCTACAGCGATCACCGCAGCTACAGCGATCACCGCAGCTACAGCGATCACCGCAGCTACAGCGATCACCGCAGCTACAGCGATCACCGCAGCTACAGCGATCACCGCAGCTACAGCGTGTCGTTACATTTGCTTTCAATGGTAATGGGCACTTACTTGTACATGTTTTCACTGCAAGTGGCTCCACTGTCCACCACGGTGCCGACATGTTTAGAATGGGTAAACACACAAACACACACACACACACACACACACACACACGCACGCACGCACGCACGCACGCACACACACACACAAACATACATATAATTATACACACATATACACACACAATGCACCAATGCGTCACCAAGAAAGTTCACATAATTAGGAAAAGTCTCCTATTCGTAGCCGTAGTAGGCTATTACCACTATTATTCTGCAATGGCAGAAACATGGGACGTTTCATTTCATGGTAAAATGATACTCTTATCAGGAAAATCCTTGGTACTACACCTTCGGAAAGACCCAAAGCTAGCTGTCACATGCGGCATCCTAATATTCAGGTACATTTACAATACGTTCTTGAGGTTCAGCACAGGCCCATTCAACTCATTCTAGGCCATGACGATTCCCATGTCTTGTTAGTGAAGAATGAAATTGCCTACTCGTGAAAGCTCTTGGCATGCCCTTACAAGGCTCCACACAGCTACCTACTGAAGAATTTTTTCTTGCCTGGTTTCCCGTGTACCACTCACTAGTACATGTCCTGAGGTGGATGAAGATTTTTTGATTTGTTATTATCGCAGCTGTTCGATGCCACCATAATGTATGATAACTGATGATGGCTCCTGGCCGAAAATTTGATTGAGAATTATTGTAATTAGCGAAGAGACCACTTGGATTGAAGATGGTGTGTGTGTAACGTTTTCCATTTAATGTATGAGGAGTCTAAATAAAAAGTAAAAAAACACAGACTGATCGACAAACAGGCATAGGAGGAGGAGGAGGAGGAGGAGGAGGAGGAAGAGGAGGAGGAGGAGGAGGAGGAAGAGGAGGAGGAGGAAGAGGAGGAAGAGAGTGTACTGACCATCAGAGTAAGGTGGCTCAATGCAGATGAAGCGATGACTTGTCTCTGTACAGCTCCTCTGAACCAATCTGGAAGATCCATCCACCGAGCTAGTGTAGTTCTTCTCCAGGACAAAGCAAGGCTGACACGCTGGGGTCCGAGGCGACGGCTGCAGCGGAAGCGGCAACTGCTCCGGGCATGAGCCATCATCCCACTCTGTCTGCGTGTAGGCATGCAGCATGTTGCTACTGGAGCAGCTTGGCTCCTTCAGCCCGACGTAGAACGTGGCGGACGCCGGGGTGCCTTTGATCATGGCGCGAGTCAGCTGCAGCATTTTGTTGACAAACACTGCTGTGCTGTTGCTTGTTATGGAGGCCAAGAAGCCGCCGCGACAAGCGCAGGCACCGACCCCAGCCTGGTAAGCGCCGGGTGAAGGGCCGCTGGTGACCTCCGGGTAATAGCACCTACCCATGTGTTCGTAAGCACCAAACCGGCAACTGCCCTGCTGTACAGTTGTATCGCTGGATACTGAGACAACATACAGACAAGCAGCGGGGTTTCAGAGACACAATCACATCATCCCCGATTCCTCCATGGTCATGCAAACCATTCCCATTCACGTTTAGGCCCTCATCAGACAACGTACATAGAAAATCCAGTACAAAATCACATAAAACCTAAAAGGCAACATTTTTCCATGCCTGCTTTCAGACTACACATTTTACATGCAATATACAGGCAACCTTTGACCCTACGAAATTGCGCATGGGGCCTGGGATGTGTGAAAGCAGCGGACAGTCGTACCCGGGTACAAAGTTCGTACAACTGCCTGGTGAAAGTACGATAATGCAGGAAAGTTGCCTTGTACAAGGGTTGGCACCCTGCCTGAAAGGATTGGGCAGCTTTTTAGGCTTCCTGCCAGATTCTTGTTGTTGTCCTGGAAACTTCTATGTAAATGTGACTTATAGGTTGTTTTGTACCTAGTCTGAAGAGGGCCTTAGCGCATCCTACAATTTAAATGATCAGCTTCTCAAAATCAGTCTGGGCCAGCACTTTCAGGCATTGTGCTGGGCATATGCGGAGGACACAGATGCATTTACAAGCCCCAGGTTGCTGCTGCTGCTGCTGATGATGCTACAGCATGATGTGCCTGATTAGCAATGCATTCGGGAACGCCTTGCTTTAGATCACAATTTTAGTACATATCTGCTTATTTTTTTTCTCAGTTTTCTTTTCTTTTTGACTTCTTATTCTTTTCCTTGCTAGCCGTGGTTGGCTATAAAAACCCTGCAATCGCCACGAAAATTTGTCATTGGCTGCCCCAGCCATGTATTGCTTGGAATAAAACTAAACTAAAGCTAAACTAATACGTATCCTGTACAGTTTTGTCACCTCCCTTACCCTTTGATGGCAGAACGCTTAGCGCGCTGGCAGATGTGCACGAGTATGAGTGTGCGCTGACCGCCAGTTGCAAGAGACTTCCACCAGCGTCATTCACGATGAGACCATACCGTTGAATGCTGCTACCAGTGTTGGCCACTTGCTCCTGTATGCTGGAGCTATTCTGGAGCCACAGTACACCTGTGCGACGCACAACTATGGAGCTATTCTTACCCAGGGTGAGGGATGTGTTGCTTAGTCTCATGCAGGCAACGCCGAGCTTAATGGAGCATAGATCAGCCGGCGTAGAACGCGTCTGGCATACATTCTCGGGAAATCGTATCCGGAAAGAGGTCTGCGGGTAAAAGCGGATGACGCTGACGTCTGATGTTTGACAGCCCCAGAGGGTGTTAGTGGCACCAAGCTGAACTGTGATTCCCGACACACGAGCCGAGACCTCAAACTTGTAATTGACCACAAAGGATTGGTTTGTACTTGGCTTGGGCGGCAGACGTATTAAGTCAAGGCGTATCTCGTGCTGCCGTTTCGAGAGGTTTGGAACCGTGACGGTGCCAGAAATATTCGCACGGACATCAGTATTACAGCCGTCGCTTGTCTGCGACCCATCACCACAGAATGTCACCAAAACATGGCCATCAAACCAGAATCGAACAATGGAATAGGACCACGTGAATGTAAAGACATAGTCACCGGCGAAGTGGCTGAAGAAGCGTGTTGTGTGCCTTACAGCATAGTTCTCTGTGAATGACAAATGATCTGTGCTTGATGCTATGCCAGCACTGCTAAACAGAACAGGTGCACGGCCGTAATGCTCAGAATTATGACTGCAACTCGTCTCCAGAGTGGAGTAGTCGGCCAAAGTTGTCGGATCGTCAAAAGCCTCCGGCAAGCGATACGTGCCGGCACCAAGGGAAGTTTTGTTGTAGAAACCCTGGATCATGGCAGGCGGAGTGAGCACTGCCGTTGGCAGCAAGTGTCGGTATTGGAAATACTCGATTATGCAGCCACCTCTTCTCGCGGCAGAAGAACCGTCAATCTCCAACGTCACAGTGGCATTGAGCAGCGATTTAGTGTGATTCGTTGCGAGCACTGCACCTTGCCGGAGTTTTACCGTTGACCCCTGACCTTCAATGGTCCCACCTTTCCATGTCAGTTGATGGGATACTATCAGGGAGGCAGTTGTCCGGAGAAGAATTCCATCACCAAGAGCTGCAGTGGAGTCTACGAACAAGTCCTTGACCTGTAGACTAGCACCTGCGATAACCAGCCGAGACTTGAGGTACAACTGGCTCTGGAAATCCACGACCGGTATGAGACCATCGATGGAAGCCGGGACCTCGAGCAGCGCTCCACGTCCCACTGCAACCTGTCTTTTGATATCCGTGTTGTGGTCACCACTTAACATCATGTGCCAGTTATCTCCCACGAATACGTAGCCAAGAGAGGAGATAAGCTGAGAGTGGACGGTGAAGCTGGTAGTGAACTGCACTGGCGCACTGATCAGCCGCAAGACGCCGTGTTCATCCATGTCCAACGCGGTCTTCACGTCGACAGTTGTCACCCCGCTTGGCATGGGCATGATCCGCCACTGCGCCGGACCGCGACTGGTGAATGCGTCGATGGTCAAGTTCCAGAATGACGAGTGCACGGCGATGGTGATGAGCACTGGCTGCTGAAAATTATACTCTATTGTCTGAGTGGCTGGATCCGTTATGTCCTCCCACCAGCGTGTAGTTGTGCTGCTGCTGAAGGAGTACGTGGAATTGACTACCGGTGGACCAAATACTCTCCAGCTGCCAAATAATAATTGCAGTTTGCTGGGCATCACGTTGATGTTGGTGAAGTAGAACACGACAGAGCCAGCGGCGTGCAGTCCGCCGGACAGCAGAGTCCACGTGGGCAGACTGGCGTCTTGATCGCTGCTCAGCACAGCGGGGATAAACTCCAGCTGACCAGCAACAGTGATGTATGTCTGCAGCGTACAGCTTGAAGCACAGGCAAGTCTTGCAGTGCCGTCGACAATCAAGTCATATCCATCCTCCGACCCCGACTGCATCCAATTGGGCACGAAGCTATGCAGCAGGGCGCCAGGTAAAACCCGAATGGTTCCATCCACACTTTGTACACTGGTTCCGTGCCACGAAGCATTGCCTGCTATGGAAAGTACAACAGATGTCAACACCTTTGTGTGAGTAGCTTCCCTTCTACCATTGAAGGCTGTCATTTGTCTGGTCACCAGCACGGTTGGAAAGGCGGTGAACAATTGGCTGCGAAGCAATCTCCCCGACCATTTAAGGTCCTTAGCTATCACATTAATGGTGTTGCTGCTGCTGGTGGTGTTAGCTCCATAGCGAAACGTCCACGTTTTGGAGTGGATTTCAAGCAGGTTTGTAACATGAAGGGTTGCCGTAGTTTTTGTGTTGAAAATGAACAGCAGCGTTGACTTGTCAACCCTGTCACTTCGCCCAAAGGCAAGGTTGGCTAACGTGATGTGCCCGTCAATGAACCACTCAATCGTGAAAGCCTTATCAGGACTGTTGGGGACGATGAAAGTATCATTTTCTTTGGGCCTGCACGACGAGAGGAATACACACACAGCAAATAGTTCTTATCAATCACACCACCGCCACTCCACAATGTGCTCTCGGCCGACACACTTCATTTGCTCATCACCACCTAGACAGGACAATTCTGTTCAGTAATTTTAAAATATTTGACACTCCGGTCCAGACGGCTGTTTTGCTCCAACAAAGCAGTAGCTTATCGATGGACGTAGTGCGTAATGGATGATTCAGGTGCATGAATGCTATATAGGGTACAACTGGCACACTTGCGCATTGTCTACCTAGAAGTATGGCATGCCCAATGAAACTGAGGTGCTAACAGGTGATAGCAGACAGTTCTAACAGAGGTGATGATGACAGCACCAGCATTACTCGGACATGCATGGCACACAGCGCTTAGAATGATGCAGGGATAGGGGGAGCTACGGACCCGGGTTTTTTTTGCCTGCTGCGATGGGCAGTCACATGCTTTAGGGGCTGTATGGCCTCATGCATCTGCCACATGGTCGGGAGCCCCTTTTTCAGCATATTGCTGCCGGCTGTGTTGATTTGGGCAGGGGGGGGGGGGGGGGGGGGGCCTTTGCCAGTAGGCCATTTGGGGAATGGTTTGTTGCTAAGCTTTTGCAGCGTTCAATCTTGCACTTCAATTGAGTGTTTATTTACAGTAAAACCTGTCTCTGATAAGGCGACCACCTGTCCAAGAGGACCACTACAACCAGGACCCGGGGATGTTATTTCCAGTCAAATGACCCTGGATAAGAAGACCGCCTGTGCACGGGGACCACATTTGTAAGGTCCCTTGAGCGGTCGACTTAGACAGGTTTCACTGTATAGCCAAATTTGGGTTGTCTTTTGGCTTTGGGGTCTTACTTTATGATTTCACACAATTGGCGTTGGGAATAAACCCGTTTTCAAAGGAATGGTGCAAAAAGAAATTAACAGACGGTGAGAGTTACTATTAGTACTAGCTACATATAAAGAAGCCTTGCTTGGTAGTTAACATGTTTTTCGATTTTGACAGCATGCTACAAGGCGAGGACGCGAACCGCCTGGGTTTTCCCAATAGGGTTCAAATGGCCCGCGCAAGACCGGGACTCTGCCAACCGGGTTATGGTTGTAGTCAGGAGCACTATGCGTCCTCGCCTTGTAACATGCTGTCAAAATCGACAAACATAGTACTAGCTAGTAGGTACACCGTGACACAGATAGGGGAATAATGGCAGGTTAGTGGTTGTACTGGTCCCAGTGACAAGACCGTTGAAGGCCAGGTAAATGAAAGCTAACTAGTTAGACAACCCCTTGTATTAAAATAAGGCCTGGTCTGATACTAGTCGGTTTGGGCCGGGAAATGGTCGGAACGGGGGCATAACCGGCATTATAATTTTACGCCGGCCAAAACCGGCCAATACATTTTTTTTATTTCCTGGCCAAAACCGACTTTGACCACGGAGCGCCAATGCAGCACTAGCTCCTGGAGATGCAGCTTACAGTGAAATCACATATGCATAGGAGGGGCTTTGGAAGGGGTGCGACCATAGGACGGAGCGGGCTGTGAAGGGGTAATAATCATCATGCCTGTATCGAGGGGCTTTGGAAGTGGTGCGACCAAAGGACGGAGCGGGCTGTGAAGGGGTAATAATCATCCTGTATCAGTGCGTATGTATTACTTTGAGTACCTGCACTTGACGTACTGGAGAACAATGACGCGTGCAAGTACTAAGTACTAGCATGTGTCAGCCATGCAGCTCCGCACTGCATCCTGCAGTGTTCACATGCAGATGTGAATCTACCAAGCTAGCTAGCGAGAGGTGCTGTGGCACGTGCAGGTCGCACGGGTGCAAGGATTGGCGGCCAGACCGGTTATTCTGTGGTGAAGGGTCACAGGCCTGAAAATTAGGGGGTTCGGAAGCCCCCCCCCCCCCCCCCCCCCCGAAATCCCCTCCTAACTAGAGGTAAAGTGCACCCGTGAACATCCCAGTGTTTGCAGTTCTAGGTCTGAACATCCCAGTGTTTGCAGTTCTAGGTCTGAACATCCCAGTGTTTGCAGTTCTAGGCCTGCACGGCGCCCTGCATGGCATACTGGATCCACTCGATCGGATTTCATTGAGCAGCACTGTACATTGCACCCAAGCCAATCAAATGGGCTCCACTATCGACAATCAAAGTTTTGCGTTGAAAAACTGTATGCATGGCTCTCTGGAGATACATGTGCATGACCATGCAGCCAACTCTCTACTGCCCTGGACAGTGTGTCAGTGCATGTTACTCTCTACTGCCCTGGACAGTGTGTCAGTGCATGTTGTGTGTGTCAACTCTCTACTGCCCTGGTCAGTGTGTCAGTGCATGTTGTGCCAACTCTCTACTGCAATGGACAGTGTGTCAGTGCATGTTGTGTGTTAACTCTCTACTGCCCTGGACAGTGTGTCAGTGCATGTTGTGTGTGTCAACTCTCTACTGCCCTGGACAGTGTGTCAGTGCATGTTGTGCTCAGAGTTGTCTTCAGGCCACGGGACGCCTTGAGAACGCATACATCCGATGAGACCCCGGTGACCGATATGCTTACGTGCAGTCTGACGGTCCAGTCACATTCCAGTTTGAGCAGTTGTTGAACTGTTGGGTTCCGGACAAGTCTCCCATCCATCCCAACACACGACACTGTCCACTACCAAACTGTATCACCAAGATGAGGAGAAGTGCAAGCAACGCACCAGCCTGGGCCGACGGACATCGCTGACCTTGCTGTGGCCTCCGGCGGCAGTGTTGTATTGCACACCCACACACTGGGTAATTAGTGTGGCCATCTGGGCAAAGAACACACGTAAGCACACACATACACACGCAGTGACAAATGTCGAGTCGAGACACTGCTGGCCAGTTTTTATACTTGTGGCTCGTGTAGTGCAAAGCGCCAATATCACCCCACATGAACCAGCGCGAGCAGAATGCATCCGCTCGGACCGCATCCACCAGGCTTTCCATTTTCAGCAGCCAATATTATGATAGCTGTGCCCTACGCCGAGTTCCAGGTCCGTGGATTCCTGGTTGTGGAACACTGGGCCAAACAGGCGTATACAGTCTGCGTGCTCCAGATCCAGAAATCGAACACGAGTCCTCTGTGGGATTAGGCGCTGCCACTCACGTAAGATTTCGCCAATCTGTAGTGCACCGCGCACAGTTGGCAGTTCGTGTAAAGCACTGTCGGCATATGCAGCTTCAGCAGGAAGAGTTTCATTCACTCCATAGCTGTCCATGCTATGCTTGCAGCGCACACGATAGTACAGTGTAGTCCGTCACCAGTGTGACAGTATGATTGTGGTGGCCGACGCCGCACTGTTCCCCGCGCTTCTCGTGCACATCGACCAGGCTGCCAAAGTCACTATCCGGCAGATTATGACGGAGCAGCCGAGGCAAAATTGCATGGGCAGCGGCCAAAACTTGAAGCTGCTCGTGAAGCCGTGGCGTCACGCGTGCTCAAACAGAGCAGCGACAAAGCTGAACGTGGAGTGAAAGGAGTGACTTGTCCGCCACCACCGAAGCAGCAGCCGCAGCAGCAGTCGAACACGGCCGGTGGTGGTGGCGGCAAGGGTGATGATGGTTCGTGCGAATGGCTGGAACGCACACCATTGACCATTTGACACCCATCGCCGGAGGCGATGATAGCGATGCTACAGCAGAAGCCATAGCAACTTGTGCTGGGATTGCACCATTCAACAGCACACACACACACACACGCACACACACACACGCACACGCACACACACACACACACACACACACACACACACACACACACTGAGACGCACACACGCATACCTGAACACGACCTTGCCAGGTATAACTTAAGGCCACATGCCAAACTATAGCCATGTTAAGCACTTGCTGCTACAAACTGACTCAAAGCAAGTTGTGTGTCATTATACAGTTGCGCTCAGGGACATGACTCTACCATTCTGAGCCTAGACGCAAACATCAGTCAAAATCAAGATGATTATAGTCACGCACTCGCGATAAGTCGCGCACTTTTGCAATTTGGAGGGCATATACTTTTGTATACGTATACTATTGTGTAAGTTGCGCACTCGCGATAAGTCACACATTTTTGTCTTCAAGACTGCGACTTATCGCCAGTAGATTGTACTTTAAGTACGTAGATACGTATCAGTCAGCATCTATGTATCAACCTGACGCTCACTCATACTGCTAAGATCAGCACTTTTAACCAGGGGTATTTTACTAGTCCCTTAAAAAAAGTTTTACTGGTGTACTTTAGGATAATTTATAATGTTCCCACGGTATAGTGAAATGCTGGTGATAATAGACTTTGCCGGTGTGAAGCTTGGCAGCCGTTGTTGACCTTGCCACTGTGGTCTCCTCTGGCTCAACATGAACTAGTGAACATCAAAGTGTATCAGACTATCAGTCACCACCTACAAGAAACAGCGAAGAGGCTTCCCACCACCTGTACGTGCCAGTCTGTTATCAGTGACTTATCACCTATCAGGTCCAATATCAATCTGCCTGTGAGTCTCTCTGTGAGTCACTTTATGCAGTTCTGCAGTCACCAGGAGGCTGCCATTTTGACACTTTGAAGCAATGTGATGTGCAACCTGGGAGTCTTTACGCTTTGTACGACTCGCTGTGTGCAACTCGTGACCAGTTGTCATGATTAGAAAGTGCACTGCTACATGTGCCACTCCTTCTTACAGCCAACTGCAGCGGGTTACCCCCGGTATGGTGTAGGCTGTTATGCTGCGAGTACCCACCTCTTCCCCCGCCCCACATAATATAATTACCATCAGGGACATAGCTTGCACATCCAGTGCTGCCAAATAATTTTCGCCCAAAATCGGACACCCTTCACCGCCACATGGTGCGAATTTTTCTCCTTGGCAAATTTTTTACAGAGAATTCAAAATATCGCCTAAAACACCATGAAAATTTGCTTCGTTGCCATGGTAACCCCAGAGTTGTCATGAATTTTGTAATGATGAGTGTGGTCGCACACTGACTCTGTACAGACTGTCAGTGTACATGCCATCCAGCCTGATCCAGGCATGTTACTTTGCACTTCCACAGCCAAGCGCTAGCCTTTTTAGAAGCAAATGTACAGTGATTTGTGCCTTCAGTTGCGCTGAAAAGTGAAAGTACAGGACTTCTGCATAGGAAAGTAATGATCTCCGACATTTTGGCTGCTTTTCGGACGTTTCCCTTTTCGGACCGGTTTTCGGAAGAGCCTTCAAAAATCGGACACTGTCCGAAAAATCGGACGGTTTGGCAGCACTGCACATCTGTGGTGTGCTGACTACATGTATGTGCCAGAGCACATCTGTGGTACGGCGACTATGTACCACTGGCAACCTCATAGCCGACAGTCTGCATATTTTAACTATGCAGTCGTGAGTTGCCTTCGGGAACGGACACGATAATTTATTTTTATTTTAGTACCTATGACGGCCATTTACCAGTGCGGTGACCGGATCGCGCTGGCTACACATGACCTACGTGTGTAGTGCCGCCGGATCATTATGAACTACACTTTTCAAACTCCAGTCTTGTACTTGACTAGGTGTAATCTGCACGGTGGCGAATTGCAAGGGTAGGTGGCCGGTTGTGGTGCCATTCCAAGCAGCCGTTTGCGAAGAAAATCAATAGCGGAAATCGTGCAAAGGCCTAGTTCTAGTGTTATTTTTAAATACATGTATAACCAACAGACCTCCCACATAAAATTTGCCTCATCTCACATCCATTAATCCGCCCCACTTGCCAATGCCTCGTTATTCATCACCATGATCACAGCTCCGGGTCCGGGGTTAGATGGAGTTTCACATATTCCGTGATCACGTCGGTGCCCTTTTCCAACCCAATAGCCGGGGGCCGGAGGGGGGGGGGGGGGAGGGGAGGGAGGGGCAGAACAAACTGAACTTTTTTGGTGACACACAGCGAGAAGACTGATTGCGATGGATATCAAAGTCGGATATGCATGGTTGAGTCCAGGTTCTTTTCCTTGTGGCGTTTCTCAAGGACGACCTGAGCGATAGATGGTCAGTCAGGCCATCCCCCCCCACACACACACACAGCCCGATGTCTGAGATGCAGCGTCAGACTGGTTTGCCAGTCTACAAAGTACAAAGTACAAAGTCGTATCAACTCAATACTGTGCCCTGGGGTCAATAGTGATGAGTCGGTGACCAGCGCATGCTCTACTTTCTACCATGCGCCCTGCAAACTCTACACAGTACACTACTGTAGACACACACACACACGCACCATTGGACGCCCATCGCCGGAGGCGATGATAGCGATGCTACAGCAGAAGCCATAGCAGCTTGTGCTGGGATTGCACCATTCGACAACTTGCAAAGCTGAAGAATTGACCGCCACTATTCAGCCTGGTCTACACCACACAGCTATGAAGTGGCTTTTTCTGGCCAGTGAATCCCTACTTTTTGGTCTTTTTCATTTTTTTACACACACACACACACACCATGTACCCCCCCCCCCCACACACACACACCAGCACTTACCAATCGTTTGCTTCATTCTCAAGCTGAGCACTGGAAACACCAGCGACCCTGCCACCTGCCACCAGAGGAGACCCTGAGATGTTGATCAATGGCTGCAGGGTGCAGTGGTCACCAGGGGACTTTTCCATTCATTGCCAAACCGCGATGAATCTTCCACGAAGCTTCGAAGCACGCGTCATCGCTAGTTGAGAGGGTGAGAAATGACACCCGCTCACGGTGGAATCGGTACGAGTCTCGTACAGCTCTACGGACTGTGGCCAAGAAGGTTCGATCGAGGACGACTTGCTACGATAGATGGTATTTTTCAGCCGCTACACCTCGTTGCTAATCGCAAACTATTCCTTCCCTGGCAGGTGTCCTATTCTTCGTGTTAGTTCTCCTTCTCTGCTCACTAGTGCTAGTAGTAGATCTACTACTAGCACTGTGTGATTCCCATTCTAACTGTACAGAAATGGAGACCCCCTCGATAGGCCTAAACAGTAAACGGCCTCTGAGATCTGATCTGGGGAATCCTTGAAATAATATTATAATTATACAAATTATACAAATCAGGGAGTCGATCGTATAAACGTCTCCCTGATACAAATAATAAACAAACTCCAGTCTCCATGCTCATGAGTCATGGCTGCACTATGTCAGTATGACTGTATACAGCAGTACAGCTAGCTGGGTACCGGGTAGGGTCGCTTTGAAGAATGGCAGAGCTGACCGTCGGTCACCATGGTCACGGTCTCTGAGCGTGGGTGGCTCCATGATCCAGGTCGTGTGCCCATGAAACTTTGAAAGGAAGAACACCCATCTGAGGCTCGCGAATTAGGCGAAACGTTTTACCGGTACTCGTAAAGAGTATCGTGAGTTCAGGATCATGTCTCTCGCTAGCACACTACATACACTGTACATCTTCTGAGAAGACCTACTTTAGTAACAGTCAGTACAGTAACAAGGACAGGGCTTAGGACTTGAGTCTTCAAGTAAATTTTAGTTGAGACATGTACAGGTAGTTCAAGACAGCTAGCTTAGTGTCCGGAGTACAGACAGTTCCCGGCATGATTGTTAGTGTTTTCAATTTTGTCACAATCATGATGGTTACGAATGCACAGCGATGACTGGCACGTTCACCCCCTCCCTGCTAAGAAGAAGAAGAAGAAGAAGAAGAAAAGTCGGCTATAAAACATGTTATTTGTGGTCTGCTCCTTAGAATCGCCCACCATTACAGACCACGAATAACATGTTTCATAACCGCGGACATGTTCAGCAAGACTGCGGTCAAAAAGCTTCAATACATGTGACAAGCAAAAGAAATGTTCTTGGCATTAAGGCAGCTTCATTAATCACACACTATGGCATCATAAAGAGCCGACGAAAATGTATCGGAGGGGGAGAAAGAATCAGTGCCAACTATATCAACTTAGGAAATCGACTGTCATAAATATTACTGGTATAAAACAAGTTTAGAAAAAAACACTGAGAAGCACCATGACCATGGCAAAAAAAAACTGCACAGCAGATTCACTTCATAAAGACAGGTAGGCAGCTAGAACCAAACCTCGCAAACCTAATAACCATACAACGGTTACTACATAAGTCATTGTACAATGTACATGCATGCATGCAGCCTAGTCAGCGGCTCAGCACCCAGCAGCAATTCGGTGCAATCTTTGAGATTGAGGTGTTTCGGCAGCAGCTTTTCTTGGAAAAGAACCAGTGTAGGTATAATCCTGGATAATGTGTCTCCAGCGGGCAAAGTGCGGCATACACTGTAATAATTATGATATCAATACGGCGAATGTCAACAGTTTCAATGAAAGTCTCAGTGTGTGCTGGATATTAGTAATAACAAAATATTACAATACAAATAATTCATTCAGTGCAAGCACTAGGTACATGCACAACGCCTGTGAGTCAGCTCTGGGCACCTCGGTCAAACAGTCAATAGCCTACAATAGTAGCGGCACATGTCCTTCCCACAGTGTGATTAGATCAGTTCAACGGTATGATTGTAGGTATGGTGTCTGGAAACAAGGATATAAAGTCACTCAAGTCCGGCAAGTTAGTTAATCGCGTGGCTTTTCTCATGAACTCAATCAGGATTTAGACGAAACGAGACGGTGTATTGACTATGGACATAGTGCCCGTAGTGTCCACTGTTCACGGTGACTACTGAGCCAGTTCAGTCTCTTTCCTCAGTGTACTTGCAAAGGAATACTTCAAAAAGAACGATGATTCGCACGGTCGTTAACAAGAGTACATATCCTCCATACGACTAGTGTACTCAGTCTTGTCCCTACTCATTGGGCATGACAGCGCTGCACGAAACGGGCGCACACATCTTGTAGGTAAGTGCTGTCTCATCTCCGTAGGTCTGACCAAGCTGCCATGACACCGGTACTACCCTTTCTTACTTGAATGGCGTGCTGCTGCTGCTGCTGCTGCAGCTGCATAGTACATGAGCAATGGGATAGCCTGGTATAGGGAGGATCCGATGGTTGGCACAAACTGAGCAAGATCATCTCACTACTGGTGTCCTCCAGGCAGCTTGTTTGGGATGCCGGTCACCTTTTCACTGAGCGCAGAGAGGTCACATGATTGACAAAGCAAAGTGTGGCCGTTCTACACAGTGAGTGCTCTTACACAATGCCGGGACATTGAGCTACTGCCCACATGCATGCTTGGGCATGCCGCACTGCCTGATGGAATGCTGATCGGTGTATCTGCCCAGCAAGCAGCCAGTAGCCGTGAACTGAGTACACAACACCAGGAAACACACAACTGGTCTGTACTGGCATAATCCTGGTGTACATGGGAATGCACAAAGAATGTAAGCTGCCACTCTTCCAGCACTACGTGTACCATTGTGTTGTGTATCCTGCAAGTGGCCACTGCCACTGCTCTAGCTCTCCACAGACATGTATTTGATTACTACTTCCGTTGCTGCACTGGCCAAACTGTGAATTTGACTGAGTCCATACTTGGTGTAGACATCCATTTCTTAGCCGCGGCTATACGCCCAGAGTCAACAATGGCGAGTGCATCATGAGATGATGATGATAGGAGCCTGTGTGGTTATTGGTTGTGAGGAGCCATGCCCAGGTCACAGTGCAGCATCACACGCGCCGCCAGTGTGAGGAGTATCACGGCAGGACTGGGTAAAGTCCTGAACCTAGCGACACCACTGCTTACTGCACCTTCATGGGAAAGTCGGGCGCCCTGGATCCCGGCGGATGCACAATGACCTTGATGAATATGGTGTCGTCGCGGATGTAGCGCTTCTCCTTCGAAATCAGCTCGGCCAGCGGCATGAACAGTGGACAGCCAGTCGCCACGTTCATTGTCTTCATGGGACGGTGGAACGACGAACTGGCCGGATCCGGCTTGAAGGTCTCGACGACGTCCATGCGAGCGGCCTCGGCACCGGCGGGCGCGCTTTGATCGAGCAGCTTGATGGTGACACGCTGCTGGAATGGCCAGGGTAGCAGGGCATCGTACTCGCCGCGCATCACAACGAAGAAGATGGACAGATGCGTGGAGCTGCCCTGGCCGTCGCCGTTCGGATAGAGGCGCGCGCACATCTTGTAGCCGCACGGCGATGTGTAGAACGGCGGCGAGTAGAGCGACGGCGTCTGAGAGCTGAGCGCCTCTCGACGACGCTGCATGAAGTCGGCGATCTTCCAGACGAGAATCCCGTTGCACGTCTTCACCTCCAGCAGGTCACAGCGCATGTTCAGGTCATTCAGCTGAATGTCATATGTCGTCATGGCCCTGCAGAGCAGAAGTGACCAGGTTACAAACAACACATCGCATAAGAGTTCAGAGGGATTCCAATAAGTCAAGGACCCACACACACACACTGTGACACACACACACACACACACACACACACACACACACACGCACACAAAAGGCACTAAGTGAATAGCTCTGCACATTATGTATGGAGCACAATCAGTGCCTAACACAGTGCCTACCTGTGTTTCAAGGACCACACACATATACGCCAGGGGCTGGATGTGACTCCTTAGCCTGCCCCGCCTGTCCCAGGAAATCAGCAAACTTGAAATTGATCAGGACAACTTTCTGTCCAAGTGGGGGACATCTCCTAGAAAATCACCCGCTTTAGTCCAGTGCTTACTTGTCCATCACACGCTGCTGTTGCATGAGGATGTCCATGTTCTTCTCGACATCTTCAACAGCCCCTTCAACAGATGATGCACTGGATGGGGTTGCTGCTTCCTTTCTGCTCAGTGCCTGCTCGCTCACCTCCGCCACCATCGTCTCAAATTTCCCGCCAAACTTCTCCATCCGTTGTTCAGTGGCCGCACACTGTTCCTTCAGCGCACCCACTTCTCTCTGCAGGTTCTGAAAGCCTAGTGAGCAGAGCTGCAAGTGGTAGGGCATGTTGGCGCTGTGATGCTCCGGTAGATCCTTCCTGGGGCCCTGTGTAACGGACAAGCAACAGGAACCGACGAGCTGTTGTGTCAGCATGCTCTCGGTTGCCGCCGACACATCCTGAAACCCCCCTAGCGGCATAGAGTACTAGAGTATTGTATGTGTCTGGGGTGTGGGGGGGGGGGGGACTCTTGTAACAATGAGTCGTGTCTCTATCCAGTGCGATTGAACCTTACCCGTGCAGCAATACCCATGGCCAGTACATGCCATTCCCGCACAGCGACTTACTGTAAGACCAGTAATGTTAACGAACATTTAATTCTAACGATTAAACGAATAAAAAAAATTGAAGTCGTTATGTAGTACAGTCAGACCTGGCTTATCCGGTCCTCTCGCCATCCGGATCCCTCGCCATCCGGAAGAAAATCGCTGGTTACCGATTTACAGCATATGCCATGCATACATACAGTGTGTGTGTTCGATTATCCGGTTCCCTCGCCTATCCGGATATTGTTGTGGAAAACGGATGTGTGCGGTTATGCGAGGTCTGACTGTAAACGATATGTACATGTACAGTCATTTACCAGTTTTGAGACAGAATTCGTTAGAATTTCACCTCGTTAACCCACAAAAATCCGGAGATCGTTAACTTTAATTGACGTTAAAGTATCTGATCTTAGAGTATTGTGACAGTCGTTGTTATTTAAAACTTGTTAACATCCAGACATGTTCCAGCACAATCATGGTACATGTCATGTAGTTCTACGCACATACAAGAAGAATACACGTCCTTACCCGAAAGGCACATCCTGCAAACGCGTAATAGCAGCCCACGATATGAAGGGGGCACTTTGTCAGGTGCTCCTTGAACTGTGCCACCAGAAGGAGAAGTAACAGAACCAGAAAAAGCATTTGGGTCTCTGAACGTGCTAGGATGCCGGAGAAGCAGACACAAGTAGAATCCAACAGTTGTGTAGAATAACCAATATAAGTTAAAACACAAAGAATAGGTGCGCGACACATAGGTCTAAACACAATGGCAAAAATTGACCTTGTAGGCATATGGCAGGTAAGCTGGGTAAATTTATACAGTGTGTTCATGTGTACTTAGTTCCTGGGCCCTTACCATTTTTCTCAGCATCTTTGGTGCAGAGCATTTGTTTGGGCACGGTAATGGGGTAGCTGTACATGCTTCAAGTTGGTGAGTCTATGACACACACACACACACACACACACACACACACACACACACACACACACACACACACACACACACACACACACACACACACAGATTAGGAATGGAATCGGCTCCACGCAACACTGCACACCGGTACAGGATGATTACTACACATCGTCCTTGATCCCAAACTGGGATTTATAATCATACGGTAGCCTTGCACTCATCCACGCGTTTACAATGCCGTGCTCAGAGTCATCAGACGGCTTAGAGAAACGCACAGAGTTGATGCATTATGGTCGTTGGGCAAGTCAGTACACATATGACAGACATACTTTAGACAATAAACCTACTGCTATTCATACCAAGAGTACATACCGTACTTCCCCGATTGTAAGGCACACTCGATTATAAGTCGCACCCCCACTTTGAAGTTTGAACCACATTGTTTCCGATACATGCATATAAGTAGGATGTCACTCTCGATTGTAAGTCGCATCCCCTTCTTTGCCCTTGAAGTTAAGTGCAAAAAGGTGCGACTTATATCCGGGGAAATACGGCAACCCCCAAGAGTGTGCAACTCTCGCATACTAGTACCCTGCTGTCCCGACAGAATTTCAAGTTGACATCCTTTTACGGTGCAGTGCTCCTCGCATGAGTGATTTACGATGTGTGTACAGGGTGTCAGCGCATCACGCGTCTTTCCTTGAACTAATCTGTACATGATAACATCGGGATTTGTCAATCGCAGGTCCAGGCTATGTCTGGTAAATTGTGATAATACGTGTGAAATGCACATTGCATCATAAAAATGACATCAACTTAACTTTGCGGGACAGTATCCATAGACTAGTGGAGCTGCACACTCTTGGGAGTTATGTACTTCTGCTACTAATTCACCTAGGACCGGCTTATTAAGTAGCTTAGTGCTTGGAGTGGGCCAGTGTGGCAACTAAGTAAATGCTCCAAGACAATGTAGACTGAGCAGAAAAAACATGATGACTGCAAGTTAAACAACACACACACACACACACACACACGCACACTCACTCGTGCACACACACACACACACGCACTCACTCGTGCACACACACACACACACACATCATTCATTGACACCATCTTCACTAACATTCATGTCATTGGCGAGAATTGTTCGGCCACAGAACGAGCAAACGATGGAGCGGAACGCGCACTCTCTTTCCAGATGCTCAGCCAGACGATTGCGCTCAACCTTCACCTGACAGAGCGGTGCGTTTGTGCACTTGATATCGCAATACAGACAACTAGCTTCATGTTCCTCCACATCCGCAACCTTCCCAACCCACCCACACCCATCACGGCGCTTCAGCGTGGACGGACAACGTGTGCTGAGGGCAAGGATCTCGCGCTTCGCAAAAATGTCTTTGAAGCACTAGCAGTGAACAATAACAACAACAACAACAACAACAACAACAACAACAACAACAACAACAACAACAACAACAACAACAACAACAACAACAACAACAACAACAACAACAACAACAACAACAACAACAACAACAACAACAACAACAACAAACAAACAAAAACAAAGGAAAGCTATATATTGCAACAATGAATTGTGCCCTACGAGCAGCGTGACAATCAAGGGGCACGGAGACACTCCCAACCGTACTGTCTGAACCTGCTGATAGTAGTTTGAAGTAAGCCAGCACTGTCTTGCTTTCCACACGGTTCTATTCGTTCACACATAGCAAATTGGTCGGGCATAATTACAAAGAAGGCACAAAAAGGCATTACATCATCATGACGATTTTGCCCAAGAAGCACAGTACTGCAGTAGCCACTGGAAATATTTACAAGCGGCCTATCGTACCATTACTCTTCAAAGTCGTTACAATGGAGGCTACTTTTCGTACGAAGGGCCTTATCAAAATGTCCAGTGGCTTCTGCACTTCGTGTGCTATTTTTCCTCGAGCCAAAACTCTATTGCACACAGAGCAAGGAGCGCAGAAAGGGCTTACTTGATCCTTTGTGAACGGCTCATTATCAATTGGACAACGAGGCGAGGAGCTTTCCCTGCAAAACCAGTACACCAGGAAGATAAGCAGCAACAGCAGCAGAACAGAGTGGATGTCAGAGTGGGACAAACTCTGTGACGATTGCCATGACGACTGCCATCCCATCATGGGTAAAGTCTGACTGCATCAACCTCTAAACCAAAGCTTCCACAATAGGGCCAGGTGAGAGATACATTACATCGCAATTCTCTACAAACCTGAGCATCTTCTCCAGGCAACTCTCGCAAATGCGATCGCCGCAGCCGAGCTGAAATGGATTTCTCAGCAGGCGACTGCAAGATCCACACGTCAGCTTCTCCACGAGTGTGTTCATCAGTGGCAGCTCGTAGCCACCAATGACAGTCGTTGAGCCAGACCCCGACCCCGACGATTCGCCGTATGTTCGAGCTACGCCGCCGCCAATCGGCGGAGGTGCTATGGGGCTAGCACTCAACTGCAAGGGAACAGTAGCACCCGTTGCATCGGCGTGTCGCAGCAAGTGCTCTCTTGCCAACGGAATGGGCTCCTGTGTCGGGTCCTGGCCGTGGCGAGACATGTTTACTGGTGGACGGCCGCCACCTAGTGGCTAATTCCAATATCTGAACCTGCATTGTATAGCAAGCACGGGCAGACCGACAAGCACACAAAAAGAGTGAATGTGCAACTTCAGTTGAGCCCCACACCGTGTTAAATAGTGGGAAATTGTGCGCGACAGGGAAATTCATCCGTGAGACAGCGTCTGGCAACAATGCCAGCACAGTCAAAGGTAACAGATTAGGGATTTCCCCAGGTACATCCCACACATGCATGGGCTACTCATTGCAGAACCGATATGGGACCATACGCAAAGCACACACACACACACGCACGCACGCACACACACACATACACACACAAGCACACACACACACACATCCTACATGTGATGTACCATGTGAGCAGAAACACTATGCTGGCAATGGAGCATTCCTGGAGCTTAACTAGCCGATTGATGAACAGCTGGCCTGGCCTAAGCGACCGGATACGCAGTTGATCAATAACTGCAACAGTTACTGTACACTGCACCCACCAGCCAGACAGTATTGCCTGGTCATGCATGCATGCAAATCCAACATTCCTACTGACCACCCAACTTCATTTCCTACACTACTGTATGTTTGCCGTGGGGGGAATCACCACGTCCGGTCGCACTGAGTAAATCTAGCAGCATTGCCGTAGTGCTCAGTGTCGGATCTGCCCACCCCACTCCCATGCACCAGAAGTGCAGGTCTGCCTGAGCACAATGCTCAGCGCCGCAGTGCACAAGTGGTTAACAACTGTTCTGCGAGGAAGGATACAGCCATGCATGACTGAGCAAAGCCACTACCAAGAATGGCAAAGAAATGGCAGCCAGTGGACGCGTGTGCCGGTAGGATCGTGGCCTGTTCGGTTGCGTTCCCATGAGACTGACCTGATACGAGTGCATACGAGAGCGGATCCAGTTTTCCGCAATGCACTACGGAACATCCACAGGAAGTATGTCTTGATTCCACGCGGAGAAAACATAACGTTGATCGAAGGCATGCCGGCATACTGCTAGCACACTGGATGTGCATGGGTCAGTATGGGACTAACTGAGCGAACGCTTTCTGTTTTTTTATTTTTTATTACTCGGATGGAACATGTAGCATTTTGGTCCTTTCTTTAAATTTTATTCATTTACTTCGGTTCGCGAAACTTGCTGCTAGTTTTCGGGAAACAAAACATCCACGGAGGCCTGTGCAGTTCCGGCACAGTGCCACTCCATATGTCCGAAGTTATCAGTGCTACAATCATAACATCTCCTGGATTTCAAACTCGCATTTCTCTCTACCCACAACATTCAAAGTTTGTTCCGGACGCAACTGAAAAAGGCATGAGTACGGACATTTCAAGTGTGTGTGTGTGTGTGTGTGTGTGTGTGTGTGTGTGCGTGTGTGTGTATGTGTACGTATGCATGTGTGTGTGTGTGTGTGTGTGTGTGTGTGTGTGTGTGTGTGTGTGTGTGTGTGTGTGTGTGTGTGTGTGTGTGTGTGTGTGTGTGTGTGTGTGTACATGGTGCCATGGTGTACACAAGCATTACTGGAATACCTTGAGCTGGTCAGCATGTGTCTTGAGCTGGTCAGCATGTGTCGGGACTGAATCAGATACTGAAAAAGCCAACGAAAGTCAGCTACGTATGGATGTGCATCCCCCCCCCCCCCCCCCTTCGAATTTGAACGCGCCACACTACCCGCAATGTGTTGGGTCAGTGCAGCGGAGGAATGAACACTGGAATACACTTGCAGCTGCATGCAGTACTCAATGTAGCATCGGAAGTGATGTAGATCCGTACAACCAACAGCCATCATGTGAACTCTCTCTCTTTCTCTCTCCCCCCCCCCCCCCTCTCCTTCAGCTTCAAGCTGTCTACAACCCGGAGGTGAGTGTTTGATCATTCTGGTGCAGAAAGAAGGCTAGAGGTGGCAGCACCGTCTCTACGTGATGCACTGCTCAAGCTTGTGGGGCCCCTGCCAACGTAAGGTTGTGTTTGGTGTAAAAAGTCTTTGAACATAAATAGCCAACACTGGTTGACCTTTTGATCTCATGCTGGCAGTGATGGCAGCAGTGTCATTCCCTGGCAGGCGGCAACTAATACTTGTGACGAGTCATGTCAGACTATACAGCCACCACATCACCTAGCAACCACCCACCCTGAATGCCTTTGCCCTGACAGACAGTTGGAAGTAAGTATTATGGTATTATGCATGGATGAAAATAAGGTGGGTAAAAGGACCTTAGGTGGGTGCACACAACAACACAAAAGGTCGTTTCATCCACAACAAAATCAATCACTCTAAACTCGACTAAAGTCGGATATGGACCTGTCCTAGGCCAAAGCAGGATCCTGATGACTACTGTAAAAGCCACATATATATAACGAAGTGCTAACTCTAACGAGTTAACGAGGAGAAATCTGTCGTTAAAATAGAAATCGTTATACAGAAATCGATACATATACTGTCCTATTGAGCGTTGGGAATGAGTGAGAATCGTTACCTTTGGTACACGTAAACTAGTCAATTTGGGGAAATCGTTATTATATGCGCCTCGTTAGAATAATGGCTTTTACAGTACTTGTCCTGAACTAACTCGAAGACTTCAAACCCGCAACCACTTCCACTCAACTAGTTTCTAAAATCGCTACCATTGGCTACCGCATATCGATCGTAAAAATTAATAGCGGAACAGTTGTACACATACGTACATTGTGACACAATCCAAAATCGCCAGTAATGATTATGACTGTGCTTTTCTACTCAACAGTGGAGTACTCGAGTCCAGGACGCCAGGAGTCCATGATGCTGAATCCACCACATCTGCACAACCGTTACTATTTTACTGCAGACAGAAATAACGCAAATCAATGCATTTGTCTCCTGCCGATCATCAGCATGGCGCCGAGAACGACATCAAAGCAAGATCGCCAGATGATGATCACCCCTTGTGTTGATGCGCCAAGGTGCGCCCCTTCACTGAATATGCTTGTGACCCCGCTTAGCACACTCTAGTTTAGTCTAAACTTACTTGCAGAAGCAGCCTCACCTGTTCACTCGCCTTCTTCCTTCTCTTCGGCTATTCGCGTTGCGGGGCCGCCGGGGAGGATCTAGGGCGTAGGCTGGGCGCGGGTCGCAAGGTAGATGACGATACCTCGACGCTGCGAGGATTTCGACCCAAACAATATACTGCCAAGCGCAGCCTAGCCTAACCTGACCGCCGGAGGCCCCAGGATTTCCTGATCAAACTGCCAACAGTCAGTGAATAATCCGGACCGCGGGCGCGATATCTACCATGATCTACGGTGTAGCGCTACCTTCTTTCTAGCGTTTTACCCTATGATTAGTACGATTCCTCCATCCATTGTCGGCCTTGGCAGTCGAGGCCATGATCACTAATGCGGACTCACATCTTCTCGGTTTCCACCCGGAGGCAGAGGATCCAGGTACTAGGTGGATCCAATGATTATGTAATCAGTAGTCTGATACAAGAGCTGCCAGGTCCAGGGACTTGATTTCAGTTGGAGTAAGGAGCCGGAGTAAGGAGCACTTTCATTGTTTCAAGAAAAGAAAGGGCCGTCATCAGGGTCATGTGGAAGCGAGCCTTCGCTACGGCCAGTACGTCCACCAAGTTACAGCGATCGAGTGCAGTAGCAGCCAGGCAGTAGTTGTGCGGGGAATGCAGCGCCACGTCACTATAAACATAGTCGTCAGTCACAACTGATTGCCGATTTGCTGATCGTACACGTGTGATTCGAAGAAGTGTCCCGGTCGACCAGGCCGGTCGAGACTGGTCACATGTTTTTGGCTCAAAACTGACAAAACAACAAAAATTAATGAAAAGCGATTTCAAATTCAGCAAAATAGGCGAAACGTGAAACAATGCTTGAAATGGGAAGGCGACGATTCGAAGCAGTGAGGGGGAGAATACTCGGAGGAGAGAAGTGAGATGTATTCAATCGATTGCGTTGATACTGCAAGCCGAATATTGTCAGGCCCTGGGTGCCAGTAGTTGTCAACAGTTGTGATCATATGTTGTTCAAAATAAGTTCTTATTGCGAGAAAATCCATTCACCCCTCATAAACTCCTCATGATGCAAATGCAGATGTTATAAATACAGATTCTGATCATGTCCCTACATGGATGACAGTATGCGACGTAGTTCTGGTACTCGACCGTGGAAGAATTGGCTGGAAGCTCAGCTGGCTTTTTGAGACTAAGAAGGTTTGCTTGGGCATATCTGTGGTGACTCTGGGAGCGTAATTCCTGCCTGCCCTTGATCTGGAGGACGGAATCGTGTCGGCGTTGGCATTGACTGTCTGGCTAGTATCCTCGTGTTCACTTTCTTACATGCCACCTAGTGAGCTTGGAATATGTCTGCACTGCTGGGCCACCGTTACATGACCGCGTGCTTGACTACAACTTGGTTGTTGCCATGCGCTTGTTTCCACGTGGCGCCAACGAGGTTGCAGCAGGCGGCTGGACATCTGCCCTCGACACCGTTGGGGAATGTGGGCGCACCTCCTGTACAGCGGACAGTTGCTGAATCCATTCAGCTTAGCCGGAATAACATGCTACAGCGTATTAACAATTCACTCGCCTTCCTCTTTCCTGACAAGGTGACGAATCACTCCCTGTCGGCAAACTACTTGGCCATGGCCCATACACCAGAACGTGAGGAATTTTTATTTCAGGTGCTGCGGTCAGTGCTGAATTACCCAGAAAATCCCAGATATTTGCGTGAGGGCAGTATATTGCTTCACTGGATGGAGATGAACTTGACCGATGCGATGGTGGGTGAAATGAATGAAAATGCAGACAGGCTAATATGCTCCATGGAGAGTGCACAGGAGGTATTGACGCCCGATTCCGCATTCCGCACTATGCTCTATGTAGCATCGCTGTTAGCCAGCGTGTCACAGTTGGATGTGGTGCTCAGAACGGAGCTAGTGGCAACATGCTCCAAGTGTATTGTACAGCTGTTGAAAGAACGAACGCAGCCACTGGTCTTTTGGGAAGTTCTGCGTTTGTCCAGGATGATCGTCACTGGGCGGCTCTATGATGAGGCCCTGCTCTCCAGCTTCAGCAGTGCATGTCAGCACACTGTCACCCAAGTTCCACGCTATTACAATCTTGAGTTTGCACATGCATGGTTCTATCCGCTTGTGTTCATGTCTTATCCTGCTGAGCAAGCCATGGTGAATTTGCAGAACTGCTCAGAATCGCTGGGCAGCAAACTTCCGCCCATCGATCTCATTCGTCTGAGCTGGTCGTATTTGGCCTGCAACCTGCTGCCCCCGGAGCATGGCATTGATGCTTTGCAACGTCAATGCCCTATTGCTCTCACATCGCCCAACATAACATGCTTTGTTCGGCCACTGCAGCCTTTCCTACTCCCAGATAGCCTGGACATACCACACTCTGAGCCCTATGATTCGGTATGGCCAGCGGTGTTCAAGCACTTGAGGTCGCTATTCCCGGCTGGCCGTTGCAGGGTTGCATGCCCGTATGGGGACTGGGTTGACTTGGCGGCAGTCTACTGCAAGGAGAGTGGCGAGTTTGTGCCGCTGATGTGGCCGCAGAGTTACATGCCAAGATTTACGCTTTCAGAGGCTCAGGCACTGGCTGGTCAGCCGGTAGCTCTGCTAATTGTCCCTCCGTCCCACATGCTACGAGACACATCCAGCGTCAGCGGTGTGTATGGCTACCAGAAGCGGCAGCTGCTTCTAGCCGGCTGGCGCGTGATCACACTGGACCAGCGTCAGGTACGCGGTTTAGATTTCAGAAGGGCTGCTGAGTTCATATTGCACTATTTCTGCTCTCACTGCCACCATTAGCACATCGCCTCTTGCGCTGTCATCTGTGAGAACGAGGTTGAACGATGAATACTCTGCAAGCCGCTAGCCTCGATAATCATATGGTTGAAGAAAACTGTGCAGGACATGGAACTTCAGTTGGTTTGTGAACTTTTTCGATATTTTTTAGTGCGAGTTACTCCTGGCGAGTGGTTTTGCCTGCTACTCGATTCCTGGTCTCTGACCGCTATCGGCATAGTGACTTTCATTCGGTATCTGGCTTTACTCATATTGTTTACCTTTGAGATGTTCTGGTCTAAGTTGTTACGATTTATCGCTGTACGTGTGCATTATGTAGTAAGTTCCTGGACGATGTATCGCAGTGCTCTCAGACCTAGATCATTAGAGTCGTGGACTGTTATCAAGAGTACATAACTCCCAAGAGTGTGCAACTCCAGCTAGCTATGGGGTCTGCGACAGCAGAACTTCACATCACGTGATGAACCCGTACACATTATTTGCACTCTGTGCATGATTGATACAGGGCTGTACGCATTACGCAACCCAGCTTTGGGTACAACTCTCTTGTTGTCACTTTGCACTGTTTGCCAGTGTACTGTAACCTCTTGAACCGTGTCACGTGATGTGAAGTTCTGCCGTCGCAGCACTGCATAGAGGCTGTTCAGGCAGTTGCACACTCTTGGGGGTTATATACTCCTGCTGCTATTAATACCCCATCAGCACTCGGCCAAAGGTTTGGAGAATGGCACCCACCGGGCTAACATCCAGCAGCCAAAGGTGAGACCATGCATCATAATGGATGCTAATGGTGGTAGGCTGAAAGAACTCCACCGCGTATTACGATTATTATAAATCGCCCGTCCACATTGGCTTTGGGAGAGGAACAGCATCATTACAAAAGAAGAAAAAGAAAAGAAAAATGACACGAGTTCGCATACAGGGCGGGTCAAGAACCGCCTTTCCGCTTCCGTGGCATCACTACAGGTACTACGGTCTAGCAAAATAAATAAAAGCAACAACAACAGTGATGTCCTCCCCCTGGCTTTTCTCAGGCCGCTCACGTGATATAATTTGATCTGAACTGCAAAGCAGCTAACATGTAACTAGAACATTGGGTAAAAAATGAACAAGCTGGCGAGTCAACAGCACACACGCGGAATGAGTTTTAAAAGCTGTCGTTGGGTGAAATACTATTACTAGGGTCTGGGAAATCGCCATCGGAGACGGCAGCTGCTGAGGTATTTGAGTGTGCTGAATACAGCGATGCATACTTTGTCTAAAGTACTATGATAGTCGTTTGAGTTCATGACAACGGCATGCTACTAAATGGATTGCAGAGTTGGAACGGGGTTGAACGGAAATCGCAACTCCACGGATGCAACAAATTTCGCAATTTTCGTCCAAATCCGCGATTTCCCGTGTACAGTATGTTGTTGTTTCATCCATCCAACAGTGGATACGAGTGCAAGCAGGTGCAAGCATGTATTTTCAAGCAGGCAAGCATAGTGGGATGGTCTAAGACCATGATTGGAAAACAGAGGGTACCAGGTTCAAGTCCTGCTTGGAAGCGGAAGGATTGGAGAACTCGTGGCCTTCGACGAGGGAAACATGGATGCAGTCAGTGAATGGGATTTTGGTTTTTTGACGAATTTGTGGTGGGTCTGATCTACTCACCTCCCACCGCTTAGGGCCAGGTCACACATGCACTGGAAAGTAGTGTATACGCTGAAGCGAGGTCGCAGGAGCGAAAAATGGCATGGCAACGGCGAAAAGCAGAACTTCCGCTTCAGCGGAAACTCCAATCCGCTTCCTCCAAAATTTTTGAAGCGAGACTGTCGCTTCTGCGGAAAACACCACGGTCTGCTGTATATGGACTTGCTACGAGACATTTGTATGCGTATGATGTCCATGCAACAAAAATGCGTGCAAGATAGTCATTGACCTCGTCTATTCTCCGTACCGTATGCACCGCAGTCCACTTACTCTCATTTTCCGCCGAAGTAGGAGTTGTGCGCTGTTTGTATGTGTGACCATACACACGTGGTTTCGCTGGAGCGACACCAGGCTCGCTGCCGCCGAACCTCGACGCCGAAGCGAACCCCAGTGCATGTGTGACCGGGCCCTAAGGAGGTGCATCTGTGCCTTGATCCTAGACGGTGGTGGCGTTCCTACAGATGCGGAAAACTCGGCTTCCTGCCGAGTCTCAGACGAACCGTGTTTTTTTAAGACATCAGGAGAGAAGACTTAAACACCTTGTATTTTCGAACGATTTGTGGAAGAAGCCGGTGATGAGAGCCGGTGATGAGAGCCGGTGATGAGAGCTACAAGGCACAACACGGTTGGTTGCATGAAGCCATAACTTGGGCGTATTATAATGCTGCTGGCCAGAAGGCTTGCTCAGTACATGCTATGGAGAGTTCATGGCAGTTGCCAGAGGGTGACGACAAGCCTGATTCTTTACTCTAGAAGCAACATGAAATCTTCTAGTTTATGCTGATAGGACCACTCAGATGTGTACATGTGTCAGCAGCGCGGTGACACAAATTGCCTGAAATGTTTTCAGCAGAATACCACACAAGCGATTACTGTATCAAACGCATCATGGAATTTCTTCATAGCCTTGTGTTTGGAGGTACGCAAGTACAGTCAGCAAGTACATGTATCGATAAAACCAATAATATATCGTAACATTTTGTCCTTTTCCTTTCTTCGTCATAACTATTATTGGTTCACCATCCGAGTTCAAATATTTCGATCGTTAACTTATATTGGTTGATCGTTGCGAGTTATTGAATGATCGTTTCAACCCTGAGAGTATGATTCCACTACCATACCCAAT